TGCAGCTCCTGGCGGTGGCTCTGGTCCATCCCGTCGAGGATCTCCATCAGCTCGCTGCCCGTCTTGGCCGGGTGCGTGCAGGCCGCCTCGTGCACCGTCAGCTCATGGAAGGGGCCGTGCCACGGGCAGCCGATGCGCTTGTACTTGCACTGGGTAACTCTGGGGGGCACACGTGGTCAGGGCTGGTGTGCGGGGGTGGGGGAGCCCTGCCCGGGGTCTTGGCCCTCGTTCCCGGGGAGCCCGTGGAGGACCGACCAGGGCAGCTGGGGCGGGGCGGGGCGAGCAGGCTGAGTGTCACCGCCCGCTGGCCGGGCCCCCTCCTGGCCGCAGCCTGGGCCGGGCCCCCGGGCTCCTGAGCTGGCCGTGCCCCCCCGGGATCTGGGGCTGGGAGCCAGGCCCACCCACGCCCACCTGTCCTGGCACTCCTCCCTCTGGTGCCGCTGCAGCAGGGCGCGGGGGAACTGGCGCAGGCAGAAGCCGCACTCGCAGGGCAGCTCGCTCACGGCCTTCTCCACGGCCAGGTTGCGGCAGCAGAGGCTCTTGCTGATCTCGCAGCGGCAATTGGGGCACGTGGCCTGCTCCTCCTTCAGCCGGGCATCTGCTAGTAGGTGGATAAAACAGCCAGCGCACATCAAGTGACCGTTAGTGCACTGCGGAAAAGAAAGGGAGGTGAAGCTGCGACCCGCACTGGCACCTGCGCCGCCGCCGGGGGCCGGGCCGGGCGCCCACACCACTGTGGCCTGGCTGGGCTGGGAGCCTGGCTGGGTGCCTGCTGCTGCTGGGTGGGGAAGCACCTCCTGGTCCTTCACAAAGGTCTCTGACTAACAGCACCGCTGGCTGCCAGTGAGCTAGGGCGGGCAGGGGCTGCTCGCCAGCACAAGGGAGGTAAGAGCGGGCCAGCGGGTGCCAGGCCCGCCCTTTAAGGCCACATGCGTGCGCCGAGGCTCCGGCCCCTCGGGCCCAACCTGCCCACACCTGGGGTCGTTTGGCACCCGGGGGGCTGTGGTCAGCGTCCAGGGACCCGCTGTGTGGGGCAGAGGCGGGCTCCCGTGACAAGCCTCCAGAGCCACAGAGCACAGGCCCCCTTTGGGCCCAGCCCACACAGGCATGCGGAGCCTCGGCATACACCAGCCACTGGCGTTTGCTGCAGGGCCAGGCACAAGCTGAGATGCCAGGGGAGGCTGTGAGAGGGCTGTGCCTGGGCCAGCCGGGCTCAGGATGGGACGGGCGTGTGAGCTGGGGACACAGGGCCCAGCGGGCCGCGCACAGTCTCAGCCTGTGACTTGGGAAGCGGGAAGGGGCCGCCGGCTCAGGGAGGCGCGGCCAAGCTCCGGTCTTGGGCACAGCGTGGCAGCAGCCATGGCCCGGAGCAGCTGGCTAGGCTGAGGCCCGCCCAGGAGCGGCCAGTGGATGGCTGGGCCTTGTGCAACCCTGGGGCAGCGGAGAAGACGGGCAGCACATGGCAGGGAGGCTGCCCGAGTCACAGCACCCATGGGCCCGGTGTCGCGCCTCACACGGCCCCCAAGGGCTCAAGCTGGACCAAGAGCCCTCGGACCTTTCCCTCCTGGAAAGGAGGGAGAGAGGCAGCCCCTGTGGACCTGGTCTCAGGACCTGGGCAGCCCCGCCCGGGACGGACCCTCAGACACCCCCACTGGAAGCCAGCAGGATGTGATACCCAGGGCCTGGGGCCGTCTTCGCTTGCAGCCGCAGGCCGGTGTCCGGGACCCCCCACCACCTGGCTCTGCTGCTATCGCTGGGGGCCCAGCCGGAAACAGGCCGGGGCAGGGTTTCGGCCCCAAGAGCCACCGGGCAGCCGGAGCCCCGGTGTGCACGGACTGCACCCCCACTAGGCCTCTCCCCGGCGCAAGGGGTTGCAGGGATGTGCAGGAGCCTAGGCCCCTCCCCCGGCTCCAGCCCCACGGCTCCAGTGCGCAGTGCCCCCGCCAGCTCTGGGCCTTCCAGGTGACCTGCAGGTCCCATGTCCCGGGGCCGCTGCTCCTGCAGCTGCCACGGCTGGCAAGGTGCCCGGGGTTGCTGGTACACCCAGGACCAGCCGGCCCCTTGCCCGGGACGTGGGACACCCGTAGTCACCACGCTCCTGTGGGGAAGACCCTGCGGCAGGGTGGACCCTGGCCTTCTCTGACCTGTTTTCTGGGCATAGAGGCGAGGGCAGCCCTCGGGTCAGCGTGTGCTGAGGCCCTGTTCCCAGAACATGGTAGACTCACTGGACGCCCGCCGAGTGCAGCCCCTGCCTGCAGAGCCTCAAAAGAGGCCCCACGCATGAGACCCCCATTTCTGGTTCCTGCCCCACCCCAGGAGGGGCCCTCTGTGAGCACCCGGGCCTGCCTCAGCCCTGCCAGCCACAGGGGGCCGGCAGACCTCTGACCCCGGGGACTAAGAAACGCCAAGCCCCTGTGGTCCATGCACCTCTCCTCTGGAGACAGACTTGACACCCAGGCTCACGCGGGCTGCCAGCCCACCCCTGAGCACAGCTCCCCAAGGGCGACAGGGTCGCCTGAGAGGACCCCAGGTACCCACACTCCTCGACCCCAGTCCAAGGGACCGAAGGGATGGCGGCTCTGTGTGACCCCCTAGGTGGTAGCGTGGCTCCCAGTCACACCTCCCCAAGAGCTGGGGCGCCACATCTACACGTGCCCTGAGCAAGCACTGCCCGCGGGGGCGGGGGGTGCTCGACCAGCCACGGCAGCCAGCACAAAGCCCACCCCGCCTCCAGGCCCTAGGAGCCCACGTGCTCCCCAGCTCTCCTGCAACCCCGTGCCTGGGCCCAGAGGAGCTCACAGGGTGGGTGTGCAGGGCTCCCCAAGTGCGTGCCCACAAAGGGTGGGTCTCAGGGACGGCCCCTCCAGGGCCAGACCAAGGCCCGCCTGAGCTGAGACGGGCGACCTAGGCAGCAGGACCTCCTGTGCGGGGCACCCCCGAGCCTGAGCAGAGGCGGCATGAGCGGTGCCAGGCCAGGGGCCGGGCCAGGTCTGAGGCTGGGGGTGGTGAGCCGGGACCACACCTGGGGACAACCCCCCTCCCCCAGGCACTGCCTGGGACGCGGCAGGAGCTTTCCCAGCGGAGACCTGGTGAGGGGCTGGGGTCCCTCCCTGCAAATGCCAGCAGGGCAGGGCTGGGGCTGTCTCAGGGACAACACGCTGGCCTCGTGTGAGGGGCCAGGGCAGAGCCCAGGAGAAAAGTGAGGTTTGGGCTTTGGCCACATCCCTGTTAGGGGTGCCCTGGGCGGAGTGGACAAGCCAGTGGCCCTCAAACAACAGCCGGACCTGAGTACAGTCCCGAGCCGCCCACCAGCCCCCCGGCCCTCCAGCCCGATGTCCCCCTCAGAGCAGGTGGGCGGGCGCCGGTGCGGGGGCAGCCCCCGCCACCACGGAGGCGGTCCCGGAAGCCTAGGTGGCGTGGAGCAGCCCCGCAGGACCCACAGACACGTCGCCTTGCCCAGAGGCAGATGCTGCGCAGGGCTCGGTGGGACCGCCGCAGCCCGCAGCGAGGAGTGGGGCAGAGCAGGTCGCAGGCGTGCAGTCGCCAGGCCCGCACAGCTGCCCAGAGGGCCAGCGGGAGTGGCGGGCCCCACAGAGGCAGGCCCAGCCCACCACGGACCTGCCGGCACCGCAACCACACAAGCTCCCCCAGGGCCGCTGCCAGGGTGAAGCACAGCGGCACCCAGCCCTCCCTCAGGGTCCCACCCGGCCCCTCCACGTGGCAGCCCTTAGCAGGCCCAGAGCTTCCCCCAAGCCAGGGAAGAGAGGAAAACGGAAGGGAAATGCTCGGCACCAGGCCCAGATGCCCCCAGGGGGGGTCCTTGTAGGTTGTCCTACTGCTGGAGGCCTGGACGGTGCCCACCAGGCCACAGGGCGGGCCTGGGCTGCCGTGGCCCTCAGCTGCCTGTCTCCCGCCGGCTCAGACAGCTTGGCTCCCGGCACCCGGTTTGAGCCGGCCGGGGCCAGGGCCTGGCCACTGGCAGCTCCAGCCAGAGGCAGCTGGCCTCGTGCCGAGTGGGCCAGGAAGCAGCACCGGGCGGCCGGTCCTCGTGCGGCCGGCTCCAGCGTCCTCACGGAGGGGAGGCGAGGCAGGCCCGACTCTCCTGGGGCCCCACCCTTAGCACCAGCAGCCCCCAGGCTCCTGCTCCGGGACCCTGAGCGTCCCTCTGCCTGAGAGAATGGACACGGGATAAAGGAGCCAGAGAGGGAGCCGGCCCTGAGGTGCACCCCCAAGGCCCAGGGGGCCCAGGCCAAAAGGACAGGTGTCTGACCGCGTCCCGCGATGTCCTCCCGCCCTTCTCCGCCCCGGCGCCTGGTGTCCCTCCCGCGGCGCGGGCCAGGGCAGGAAGGGGCCCGGCGGGAGCTGCGGGCGGGAGAGGGAAGCCTGGCGAGCCCCGCGCCGCTCCCCGCAAGCTCGGGCCGCGGAGCGGAGCAGCAGCCCCCCAGCTCCCGCAGCGCAGAGCCCGCCAGGGCCTGTCCGCGCCGGCCAGCAGGTCTGGGGGCGTCAGGGCGGCGGCCGGGCGGCCAGCAAGGACCCGCCCCGCCCGGCCCCGCCTGGCCGCTCCGGGACGCCGGGCCTGGCCCGGGCAGACCCCGCCGCGGCGGCCGGGCAGCGGGCCGGGGTGGGCGCCGGGCGGGGCGCCCCTCCCCACGCGGCCGCCCCGGAGGGACGCGGGGTGAGGCCGGGGCCGCCGCGGCTCCGGCGGGGCAGGAGGGTCGCGCGGCTCGGGGAGGCCGGGGGCGGCGCCGCGGCCGGGCGGCCGGGCGGGGGCCGGGCCGGCGGCCCTACCTGGTACACGGAGGCCTTGGGCAGGTCCAGGCAGACGGTGCAGCACAGCACCGAGTAGAGCCGCTCCTCCAGCTTCCCGCTGCCCGCCGCCGCCGCCGCCTCGGCCGCCTCGGCCGCCCGCAGCCGCTTCTTGGGCGGCGCGTCGGGGTCGCCGGCCGCCTCCTGCAGCTGCCGGGCGCCGGCCAGGCCCGCCTCGTCCGGGATCCCGGGCCCCGCCGCCTCGCCCAGCGCCGCCGCCGGCCCCGCCGCCGCCCCGGGCCCAGGCCCGGCCCCCGCCCCGGCCGGCACGGCGCCCGCGGGCCCCGCGGCCGGGCCGCCCCCGCCGGCCTCCTCGGCGCCGGACATCGCGGCCGGCCGGCCCGGCGGGCGGGTGCCGGCGCGCTCCCGCGGCCGAAGTTAGGGGCGCCGCGCGCTCCCGCCGCCCTCTCGCCGCCGCCGCGACCCCGCCGCCCGCTCCCGGCGCCGCCGCCTCAGTGGGCCCGGCCCGCGCGTCGCCCCGCAGTCGCCGCGGCCACCGACCCCGGCGCGGCCGCCATCTTTGTTTTCGCGGCGCGCTCCCCCCGCCGCCGCCGCCGCCCCCTCGGCTGCCGGTCACGTGGGCCGCGCGGGCCAATGGCGGCGGCGCTCGGGGCGAGCCGGCGCGGCGGCCCAGCCAATGGGCGCCGAGGGCCCGCCCCCGCAGGAAGGAGGCGGCGCGGCGACGCCGGGGCGCGCTCCCGGGGCGGGGAGGCCGCGCGGGCGGGGGCGGCCCCGCGCGGGCTGCGCCTGCGCCCCCGGCGCTCGCGGGCCCGGGAGAGGCCTGCGCCGCCCCGCCCCTTGCGGGCCCGTCCCTCCCCGCGCCCGGCGCCGCCGCGCCCCGACCCTGACCCGCCGCGGCCGCGCCCGGCGGCTGACCGGCGTCCACGGAGCCAAGCGGACCTGGGGGGCCGGGGCCTGCCTCGCACAGCCCGGCGGGCGGAGAGGGCCGCGCGTCAGCCGGGAGGCGGTGTGCGTCTGGGGGAGCCTCTGGGACACGGACTCCCGCCCCCGAAGGTCACCGCCCCAGGGCCAGCGGCCAGGCCCGGCCCGGCCGGTCTGGGATTCTCGGCCAGGGCCCCCCCAGAGGGGCCGTGTTGTTGAAAGGCCAGGCTGGCGAGGCGCGTGGTTCCCCAGCTCCGCAGGCCTTAGGAAGCTCCGGAAGACCCTTGGATCCTCAAGAATGGCCAGATTACACGTTCCTGCCAATCCCTAAGATTTATTGGGGATCAAGTTCCTCCCTGTACACACAAACACAAATCAGGCCCCCAATGTGCTTAAGACCCGCCTCCTCCGTCCCGGTCCTCAAGTCCAGCCAGAAGGGGGCGTCCACGCGTCCTGACCCTGGGCCAGTGCAAAGCCCACTCTGGGAGGAACGAGTGTGTCCACTGGGGAGGAGGTCTCGGGAGGTGGTCTTCGGGAGGGGGAGGCCCGTGTCCAGGGCAGAGGCCCTGCTCAGCTGCCGCCAGTGGTCACTCCCACTGCAGGCGCTGTGTGTGCAGCGCGCGGTGGTAGGCCCAACTGCCCGCAGCCAGGGCCCAGCGACAGAGGTCCTCCTTGGGCAGCAGCAGCAGTTTGTCCTCCTCCAGCCGGCTCAGGAGACCGGCAGCGCCCAGCATGGCGCCCCCCCACATGCCATAAGTGTTGGTGGTGAAAACGGCCACAATGAGGATGGTCACTGCCACCACCAGCACCACCGCCTGGCCAGCCACGGAGCGGCCCTCAGCACCGAGGTGGTCCCCGGCCATTGCCAGCACCATGCCTCCTCCCAGGAGGAGGTTGGCAGAGGAGCGGTCCCCGTTCACCCAGTGGAAATCGAAGGCCAGAAGGGGCAGTCCGATGACAGTGGCCACCCAGCTTCCGGCGAGACAGTCTTCATCTGTGCCCAGCCCTGGGGCCAGCGTGGTGGTGACGGCCAAGGCCTGGAGCAGGAAGCCAGCAGCGGCCCCTCGACTGGCCTGTGGACAGGGGCGGGGGAGACGCGGGGAAGAGGAAAGCAGGCCCGGGTCTGGGGTGGGGTCTCCCGGAAGCCTGGCCCTCGGCCTCCCCTCCCACCCGGGGCTGGCCCGCTGGGCACTCACCTGGGCGGTGCCGGCGGCTGCGCGCAGGGACACGGCTCCGAGCGCCAGGTGGGACAGGGCTGCGCTCCACTGCCCCCACGCCCTGGGGGCCATGGCGCCTCGGCCTGGCGAATCTGGGGCGGCAGGGAGGGCGCCTCAACTTCGAAGGACGCCTGGAGCCCTACGGGCGGCTCCTCGGGGCTCCCACGCCGGCGCGGGTGGCGCCTCGGACAGCGCCCGGGCCCGAGGCTGCGGGCGCGCTGTGGGGAGAGCCCGAGCGGAGGGGGGGCCCGCCGGCCCGCGGGAGCCCCGAGGCGCCGTCCGCCCAGAGCCCGGCGCCAAAGCCCGGAACGCGCCGTCCTCGAGTCCGGGCCGGAGGGCGCGGCCGAGTGCGCGGGGGCCGCGGCGGCGACGGGCGAGCGGGGCCACCGCCCGCGCCCCTCCGCCTCCCGCGCGGCCGCGCGCCCAGCACCAACGAGGAGCGCGGCCAGAGCGGCGGCGGCCACGGCGCAGGCGCGGGCGGGGGGCGGGGCTCCGGCGAGCGCGGCTCCGCACTGCCGGGGTCCGGCCGGGCTTCAGCCCGGAGGGGCGGAGCTCCGCTCGGGGGCGGAGCCGAGCGGGGGGTGGGGCGGGGCTGGGCGGGGCCCGGGTGTGGCCGGGCCTGGTGGGCGGGGCTCGACGCGGGCTGGGCGGGGCTCGGGCGGGGGCGGGCCTAGAGCGCCGCGAGGCGGGGGCCGGGGGAGCACCCTCAGGGGAGGGCGTCTGGGGGCGCCGCGAGGGGGCGCGGGTGGGCCGCGGGTGGGCGGAGGCCTCGGGTCCTGCGCGGGCGCCTCCGCGGAGGCCGGGCGGCTGTCGGAGCAGAGCGGGTGCGGGCAGGTGTCGGGGCGCCCGGCGCACCTGTCTGCGCGCACCCCCGGCGGCGCGGGCCGTGGGGGCGGCCGTCCGAGCATGCGCGCCGGCGCTGCGGCGGGCGGGCGGGCGCGGAGTCCGGCGCGGGGACGCGGGGCGGCGCGACGGGGCCCCTGCCGCCCCGCGCCCCCATGTACGCCTTCTACTCGCTGCTCATCTACATCTTCTACAGCCTCTTCCGCAGGGATGGCGCGGCCGCGGCGGCCGCCGACCCCGAGGGCCCTGCCCAGGTGAGCCGCCGGCCCCTCCCAGGGTCGGGCGGGCCCGCGCCGCGCGGGGGCCGCATCCCGGGGTCCGCTCCGGGGTGGGGCGCCGCGAGCGCAGCGGCCGCCGGCCGAGCCCCCGCGGGCCGCGCGCCCGCTGCTCACGGCTCCCCGCTCGCTCCCCAGAGTGCCCGCCGCAGGCCCGGAGGTCGCCGCCGCCCCGGCCAGCCCGCCGCGGAGCTGTGGACCGAGCTGAGCGGCTTGGTCGGTAGGTGCGATCGGGCCTGGAGAGCGAGGGAAGGAGCCGGAGCCGGTGCCCTCACGGGGAAGGAGGGGCGCAGCAGGTGCCGTCTGGGGGCCCGAGTGGTCTGACCACTCGCGCCCCAGCACACCCCCATTCCGGCCCTGCAGGCTGCTCCGAGTCCGAGGATGGGCCGGGGCGTGGGGGGACCCAGGGCCGCCCCGCGGAGGTCTCCCTGGAGGAGGCCCTGGTGCGCCTGGCTGAGTTCCTCTCGGCGCAGCTGGCATCGGAAGGGAGCTGCGGGAAGCCTCCTGACGCCAGCCAGGTGAGAGCCCGGCCCCAAGCAACTGTGCTCCCGGCCCCCTGCGGTGCTCCCAGTCCCCCTGCAGTGCCCCAGGCCTCCCCCCAACTTCATCTTTTCTAGCCTGGTGATGTTCCCCCGCTGCTCACAGTGACTGGCCAGCTTCTGGCCCTCCTGGCATGGACCCGGAGCCCCCAGGGAAGGCAGGCCCTGTCCCAGGGGACACAGCCAGCTGCAGGGCTGCCGCTCCCCGTCGACGCCAGTGGTGAGTGGCTCTGGAGAGGGGGTTGTGCGGATGGGAAGTCCGCCAGGGCTGCCATGGCCAGGTCCCCAGCCAGTCCTGCCCCCAAGGTCCCCTCCTGTAGGCCAGGGACTTCGTCAGCCCTGACGGGTCCTCCCTGCCCCAGGGTCCACATCCCCAGGAGAGAGCCACTCGCCCCCGTCGCAGGATGAGGCTGGGGGCCAGCAGCCTCCGGGGCCAGAGGAGGAGCGGCAGGCTTGGCCGCAGCTGGAGCAGCTCATCCTCGGACAGGTGAGGGGCCGGGGCGGCATCCTCTGGGGGAACCGGGCTGAGGCATCATCCTGAATCACTCCTTCTAGCTGGAAGAGCTGAAGCAGCAACTGGGCCTGCAGGAGGAGGAGCTGGGCCGCCTGCGCCTGGGCGTGGTGAGGGCTGGCGGGGCCGGGCGGGCGGCGGGCTGGTGGCCTGGTGGGTTCCAGGCTCATTCCGAGGGCTTCCCTCTTCTCCAGGGGGCGACGGACTCAGAGAAGAGAGTTCAGCACCTCACTCTGGAGAACGAGGCCCTGAAGCAGAGCCTGAGCCTCACTCGGGACCTGCTGCTGCACTGGGGCCCCATCTGCCCCCCCAGGGACCCCCAGGTAGCCTGCGCCCCACCCGCGGGGCTTCCTGGGTCAGGGCCCCAGTTGGCTCATCGCTCAGTGCCAGGCCCAGGATGGTGGTGCAGGCCGCCCCGTCCAGGAGGCTGATGCCCGTGGGAGATGCCCCCATGCCCCACTCCTACCCACGAGCGAATCCTGGAGGAGAGGCCTCGGGAGCATGGAGCTGGGGGTGGGCAGACCCCCCGGGTGGCTTCTCCTGAGGCTGGCCCTGAGCCCCTTCTCACACCCACACAGGGAGCAGCAGAGGCTCTAGGGGAGCTCCAGGGCCGGCTTCAGGAGGCCCAGGACACCACGGAGGCCCTCCGGGAGCAGGTGGGTGCCAGCCCTGGGCCGGGAGGGTTGGCCACTGGGGGCCGCCTGAGGCGGGCTTGGCGAGGGCCTGTCCCCTCAGTGACGGGTGGGGCCGGGGGGCAGCTGGGGGTGCAGGAGGTGCAGCTGCAGGGCCTCCGGGGGGCCCTCCGGCAGCTCCAGCAGGAGACGGAGCAGAACTGCAGGAGGGAGCTGCGGCAGGTGCACGGGCAGCTGGCAGGTAAGGGTGGTTCCGGGGCTGGGGGGCCTGTGGGTGGGGGTACCCTCACACAGCCTCTCCCGCAGGGCTTCGCGCACGGACGGCCAGCCTGCGGCAGGGCTGCGGGGACCTCCGGGGCCTGGTCAGCACCTTCACCCAGAGCTGTCAGGGCTCGCTGAGTGAGGCCCGTGGCCAGGTCAGCCCCAAACGTGCTCCTGGCTGCCTTCCCTCTGCTCCTTTGGGGACCCCGATTCCTTCTCTTGGTCCAACCTCAGGAGATCCTTGTCCTGATGGGGTCGTGACTCTGGACGTGATCTTACTTGTGGGTCATGCGTTTGCTCTGTGCACACTGGGGTGGTAGTGGTCTTCTCAGGGGGCAGCCAGGAGACCCGAGGACACAGGGGTGTCCCGCCTGCTGCCCCTTGGGTCCCTGGCTCCATGCCTGGCCCTCTGGGTGAGCCCCCAGGTCCAGAGCTACCCGCCTAGAGGCTGTCGGGCCAGGGCGGGCACGGGCATGCTCTGCGTATCTTGTGTCCGCCCTCACCCAGCTCCTGGTTGCTTTCCTCATGGCCCTGTTCCCCCAGGTGTCCTGGGCCCTGGGGGCGCTGTCTGCCAGGTGGCCGGGGCCTCAGCCCCCTGAGGAGCAGCGGTCCCCCACAGGCTGCCCCGGGCGGCTCCTGGAGCTCAAAGGTACGAAGGCCTGGAGTGGGGTGGGGGCCGCTGGGGGGCCGAGTCTCAGGGCCTGACCTCTACCCCAGGGAACATCCGAGTGCTGTGTCGGCTGAGGCCGGGGCCGCCCTCCATCCTCGTCAGCTCAGAGCCCGGTCCTGGCGGCACGGTCACCACCTGCTACCGAGGGCGCCAGCGTCGCTTCCGTCTGGACTGGGTCTTCCCCCCAGATGCCAGCCAGGAGGAGGTGACACGCTGCTCTGCCCTCGGCCTCTACCTCTTCCCAGGCCCCGGACCCACAGGCCCTGGTTCCTCGCACCCTTCTATTGTTCCCTGAGAGCACAGGGCCTGGCCAGGCCACCCCCCCGCCCCCGTGCCCCGACACGGGCTCTGCAGCAGGAGGGCTAGCGTTTCCAGGGGGTTCTTGCCAGGAAGCTGGGGAGCAAGGCCGCTAGAGAACAGCTTCTGCTCAGACCTGGGGGGGGCCGTGTGGGCCGGCGCCACACCCTCCTCCAGCTTCACCAGCGGCCGCTCCCCAGGGCCGGTCCAAGAGCAGCCTCGACCCTTGCTGGGTGGCCAAGGCGGTCAGTGAGAGCTAGCGTCCCCACTCAGTGCCCTCCCACGCTCTGGCCCCGCCTGCCAGAGGCCCCAAGAGGGAGGCTCAACCGGCGGAACCGGCGGAGGTGGCTGTGGATGCCCAGGGCTGCCAGGCGCCCTCTTCTCACGGCCACAGCTGCTGTTGCTGATCCCACGGGCGCCCCGGCCTCAGCCCCGCCGGGTCTCGCTGCCTCCTTGCTCTTGGGCTCAGCTCCAGACAGGAAGCCCTGCAGCACCCAGCCCGGGCCCTTGCTGCCCGCCTGTGCCTGTGACGGTGGCCTCCCCCATGCCCACTGGACGGCACTGGCCATCCTGGACTCAGCCTCTGGGGTAGGGAAGCTGACCACATCGTGCTGAAGAGGCCATGGCTGGCATCCAGCTGAGGGTCCCCCGCTGCCTTTCTGGCCCCCCAGAGCCACGTCCACAGTCCTGGCGGGCACCTGCCCCACCCTCGGGGGTGCCCTGGCTGTGCCCAGCGCCCCCATCCTGCACGACAGGTGTTCTCAGTCCTTGCCTGACTTGGGGAACCTCTGAGGGCGGGTTGGGGTGGCCCTTCCTGCTCCCACCTGCGGGCAAGTTCAGCACCTGACTCTCGGGGCCTTGGGGCTCCAGGCGCCCCCAGCCATGCTGGCAGGGCACCCCATCCCGTGAGGGGCTTGGAGCTCAGGCCGCGCCTCCGCCTGCAGGTGTTCAGCGAGCTGGAGCCCGCTGTGCTGTCCTGCCTCCGCGGCTACAGTGTCTGCGTCTTCACCTACGGCCAGACTGGGACTGGCAAGACCTACAGCATGGAGGTGGGGAGAGGCTGTGAGGAGGGCCCCCCTGGCTCAGCCAGGCGGAGTCCAAGGCGGCACCTCACCCTGTCCCCAGGGCCCGCCTCAGGACCCAGGCATAGCCCCCAGGGCGCTGCAGTCGCTCTTCAGGGAGATGGGGACCGCGGGGCAGCACCGGGTGACCCTCAGCATGCTGGAGATCTACAACGAGGCTGTCAGGTCAGGCCACCTCTGCGTGCCGGAAGCCCCCTGCCAGGGACCCGCGGGCTGCGCCTGAGGGCCTCCCTCTCCCACCAGGGACCTCCTGGCCCCGGGGCCTCCCGAGCGCTTGGCGGTGCGGCAGGGCCCCGCCGGCCAGGGTGGGGTGCAGGTGGCCGGCCTCACCACCTGGGACGTGCCCAACCTGGAGACCCTGCACCAGGTAAGGGAGCCCCGGCCGGCCCCCCCACCGCGCCCCGCCCCCCGCCCCCCGCCCGCCCGAGCCTCGTCGCTCCACCCCTCCAGATGCTGAGCCTGGGGAGGAGCAACCGGGCCACGGCCGCCACCGCCATGAACCCGCGCAGCTCCCGCTCGCACGCCCTCGTCACGCTGACGCTGCGCGCGGCCGCCCCTCCGCGCGGTCCGGGCACCGCAGGTACCGCGGCGCGCGCCCAGCCCCCGCGCCCGACGGCCGGCGGCCCCTCCACGCCCTGGCTCGCCCGCAGGCACCCTGCACCTCGTGGACCTGGCCGGCTCCGAGCGCGCCTGGAAGGCGGGGGCGGCCCCCGCGCCGCGGGGAGACCGGGACGGCGCGCAGCGGCTGCGCGAGGCCCGCACCATCAACCGCTCGCTGCTGGCTCTGGGGGGCGTGATGGCCGCGCTGCGGGCCCGCCGGCCGCACGTCCCCTTCCGCGACTCGCAGCTCACGCGCCTGCTGCAGCCGGCGCTCGGCCCCGGCGCCACCGCGGTGCTGCTGCTGCAGGTGGGCGCGGCGCGCGGCGCGCGGCGGGCGGGCGGGCACCCCGCGCCCCCTCGCTCAGCGCCCCCCGCCCCCACAGATCTCCACCCGACCGGAGGACCTCGGGGAGACCGTCTGCTCGCTCAAGTTCGCCGAGCGGGTGGGGCAGGTGGAGCTGGGGCCCGCCCGGCGCCGCAGGGCCATGCGCTCCGGGACCCCCTCCTCCCTCAGCACCGACACGCCCCTCACCGGGACCCTCTGCACCCCCACGCCGGCCCCCGGCAGCCCCCCCAGCCCGGGCCCCGGGAGCGGCTCCAGCGCCGCTCTCCCACCTGCAGAGGACCCTCCTCCTAGGCTGCCCTGAGGAGGGTCGGCACCCCCACCTCCTCCGCCTCCAGCCGCAGCCCCCACTCCCAGCGGCCCCCAGCCCTCCAGGAGTGTTTGCCTGAGGAAGGGACTGTCCCCACTCAACCCCCCACCCCAGCTCCCCCTTATCACCATTTGCTGTTATCAGGCACACAGCAGGGGACCCTGCGCTGGAGGGCCCGACCGGCCGAACGCGTCACCCAGACCCTGCCTCCAAAAACCAGACTTGGTGTTAAAGTGTCGTTGGTTTCTTTACTGCTCCCAGCCTCGCGGGCGCACCCCCGCCACCCAGGCGGCCCACCCCAGGCGGCTCCAGCGCGGGGAGCGGGGCTTCAGGCCCGGGGCTGTCCCGGCCAGGGCCAGGGAGGGAGTGACAGCTGCTGATGGATGGAAGGCGCGGCGCGGGCCGAGAGGACAGCCGGCAGAGGCAGGGCTGCCCTAGGTGGGGTCTGGCCCCTGCCGCCCGGGTGGGCGAGGCGCCGAGTGGGCTGCCACCCTCTGCGGCCCGGTAAACGCCCTCCTGACCTCAGCGTGGCGGGCGCCTGGGCTTTGGAGATTGCTGCGGCCACAGCCTCCACCTCTGGGAGCTCGGCTTCCCCTTCCCCAGGCGGTGTGGGGCCCGGGGAGGCAGGCCCTGCCCCGAGCCTCACAGGCCGCACCATGACAGCAGCCAGCCGGGGCCAGGGGCAGCCGGGTCCCGAGGGCGGGTCACCCACACGTCATAGATGCTCTTGTTGGGCGGCACCCCCTGAAAGAGGGCATCCAGATCCCAGAGCAGCCCTGGGGGCGCAGGGGTTTCAGGGGATACCCCCCAGTAGGCTGGGCTGCTTGAGGGTGGACACTGGGGGCAGGAGGTGGGTGGTAGAGGGGCCAGGGGCATGACCACATTGGGAGTGTAGATGGGCAAGTAGGAGGTGGGCAGCTGCCCCCAGAGGGAGGCCCTGTGTCCTCCACTGGACAGTGCCCCGGGGACCGGGGTGCCCTGCATTAAGCGGAGGGGCCAGGCCCTGGGTGCCGGGGAGAGGGGTGAGGGCCCGCTGGCTCTGGCCTGGGAAGCCTGCTCTGCTCTGGGGGCCCGCGGAGGCCTCTCCGGGGGTGGGCTGGGCCGCGCCGGCTCGGAACCCGGAGCCAAGCCTGCTGGACCTGGGCAGCCCCGAGGCTCTGGCTGCGGCCTGGTCGCGCCCTGCCCGGGGTCCGCTAGCAAAGACTTTATGCTGAAGCCCTCGCGGGGCGGCGGCTGGGGGCTGGGCGGGCGGTAGGGCTGGCCGTGCAGCACGTAGGGGCCCAGGTCCTTGGCGAAGGCCCCCCGCGCGCCCCGGCCCTGCCAGCGCCGGCACAGGGCCGTGTTCTGCAGCCGCAGCGCCTCGGCCGGGATCAGGCTCACGTCCACCGCCCAGAAGTTGCCCTTGGCCTGGGGCTTCGCGGGGTCCTTGGGCACCTGGAGGGGTGGGAGGCGGGCTCGGGTGGGGCCCCGACCGGCACCTGGGCTCCCCCCGCCGCCCGCGCGCCCGCCCGCCCACCTTGCGGAAGCAGCGGTTGGAGGAGAGGTTGTGGCGGATGGAGTCCTTCCAGCCGTCGTAGTCGTCCCTGAAGAAGGGGAACACGGCCTGGACCTGACGGATGATCTGGAACCGCGGGACGGCCGGCGTGAGCCGGGCGCGGGGGGCAGCGCCGCCCCTCCCCCACGGCCGGCGCCGCCCCCCACCGTCCGCGCCGGGGCCGGGGAACCCTCGGGGAAGGCCCGGCCCGCACCCCTCGGCGCTCCCGCACCCCGCCTCGCGGCCGGCCGCCTCTGGCCGCACTGGCACGGCCCGGGGCCCGGCCAGGGCCGGGGGGAGCCGGGTCGGGCCGGCGCGGCGCGGGGGGCGCGGGGCCGCTCACCTGGGCCAGCTTCAGCCTGCGGGAGGGCGCGGCCTGGATCACCAGAGCGATCATGGCCAAGTAGGTGTAAGGGGGCTTGTCGTGCCGCAGGTATCGCTTCTTCCTGCGCTTGGGGGGCTGAGAGGCGGACTCCGCCCCAGCGAGCCCCGGGCCCGGGCGGCGGCAGGGCCCCATGCACGGAGGCCGGCAACGTGGGCAGGGGCTGGCCCGGGCAGGCGCGGGCAGACGGCGGGGTGGTGGGGCCGGCGGCCTTTATCATTCGGATGGAGGGGGAGGGGAGAGGGAGGGAGGGCTTCGCGTTGGGGGAGGGGAGGTCGAGGGCTGCCACAATTAGCAGGTTTCGGTTAATCTGGAAGGGAGGGGCAGGGAGGATTCCAGTGGGGGCTGCAGGCCGGTGCCCCAGCCTCACTCCTCCCCTCCTGGGCTGCCTTCCGTTGCCTGGGCACCCCTGGGGCTGGAAGGGAAGCCCTCTGAAGGGCCCGCACCCCCAAAGCTTCATTCTATCTGGTTTGGGTCTCAGACTCCCACTTCACAGCTTGGGGGCGGGGGGGGGGGGGTCGTTGGTCCCAGCCCAGCTGCCAGGAAGAGGTGGGGCGAGTTCAAGGCCAGCAGCTTGCCGGGCTTGGGTGGTGGTGGTCTGGGAGGGCTCCCTGAAGGACACCCACACCCCAGGAGCAAAAGAGGGACACTGGGGGGAGACCCCTTGGGGCCCAGAGGCCACTTGCTTCCTCTTGGAGCCTGCCAAAGGGGGCCCCGGAGCCGGCCTTCTGGTGCACCTCCCTCGTCCGGGGAGGGGGCCTACCACCCCCAGAAGATGCTGGTGCCACACGCCCTGGCCTTGCCCCCAGAGAGGAGGCCCCTACCCCTGGGGCTTGGTCCTGGGCAGGTGAAGGTCACAAGCGGTGACTGGGGCCCTCTCGCGGCCAGGCCTTTCCATTCAACTGGGGTCCAGGCCCTTCAGTCTGGGGAGCCTGAGGGGCCAGCGCTCCTGTCCCCTCAGTCCTGGGCAGACTCGGGGAGATCTCGGCATGGGGGTGTGAGTGGGCACAGGGCAGCTCCAAAGGTGCCAGCCGCCTGCGACCCAGTGGCCACCCCAGTGCCCTGACCTCCCCAGTCTCTCCCTCCCCTGGCCTTCTCCTCCTTCCCTGGAGTCAGTCAAGCCCGTGCTGTGCACTGTCCCAAAGCCCAGCTGCCCCTTCCCTGACCAGGCCAGCCTGCCGGACATTCAGGCCCAGGGGCTGGTGCAGGCACTCCCAGCAGGAGGGAGCACAGGGCACACTTTCACCCTGGACTCTGCAAATGCAGCTTTTCTGGGGTGTCCCCTCCCAGGCCAGGGGCTGGACACAGGCGGGCTCAGGGCAGCTGGAGGAGGGAAGTCCAGGCCACTTCTGAGTGATGCCTGTGGGTACCCCCATTTCCAGCTGCCCCTTCAGACTCCGCCTTCCTTCGAACTCCTGGTCACTTCTTCCTTTCTGTCCCCAGGGCTCCAGTTGAGGGCGCCCTGGTCAGTCCCAACGGAAACGATCCCTGCCGTGTGGCCATGACAAAGGAAATTCAGTAAGAGGGGTTCAGAGCCCAGTGGGCGTTCACTGGGGTGCCTCGAGCTGCCCTGGTTGCCCTGAACCCCCGTAACGGACTGGACTTCTTTTTGAGTGCTGCACCGCGGTGATTCAGTTGACCCCCCCAGCCCCCGCCCCCCAGCAAACGAACCTTTCTCTCCCGCAAGTCTGTGTCTCCCTTAAAACGAGCTAACCCTGGAGTCAGCATCGTGTTTCAGGCGTACGGCTTCACGCCGGCAAGTCTTCAGTCACCCCGCCCTCCCCGCGGGGGCCCCGCTCCCAAAGGCCCGGCTCCCCACCCAGCCCCAGGCCCTGCGTCCCGACCGCGTCCTCCGCGCACCCCGCGGCACCGTCGCGCGCGCTGCTCCCGCCCCGCCGTTGCGCTGCGCAGCCCGGCCACCGCGCGCCCTCCCCGAAAAGCCGGGCACAAACAAACAGCCTCCCTCGCTGTTGGCTTTGCCGTCTCTGCCCTTCGCGCTCCCGCCCGCGCCCCGAGGACGCCCCGGCTCGGGAATCCCGCGGCGCGCCCCGCGCCCTCCGAGGGCGGCCCCGCCCCTCCTGGTGGCCCCGCCCCTTCCCTGGCCACCGGGCGCCCCGCCCCGCTCCCCTGGTGGCCCCGCCCCGCTCCCCTGGTGGCCCCGCCCCGCTCCCCTGGTGGCCCCGCCTCTCCCTCATGGTCCCGCCCCGCCCGCCAGGCGGCAGCTCGACTTCCGGCTCCGGGCGCGGGCCGGAAGTGTAGTGTTGCCATGGCGAGGGCCCGCATGGGGCCCGCCCCCGCGGCGCCCGAGGGTGCGCGGAGCCGACCGGCCGGCCGGCGGGCTCTGATCGACGGCGCGCGGCGGCCTGCGCGCAGCGGAAGGTGAGGGGAGGGCTCCGGGGCCGCGCGGGGCGGGGCGGGGCGGGGCGGCCGCCGCGTGGGGCGGGCGCGGCTGAGCCGGAGGAGGCTGGGGGGCGCGCTCGGAGGCGCGGGCGGCCGGGCGGCCGGGCGGGCGGCGGCCTGTCAGGCGCGGTCGCCAGGGCCCGTGGGGGCTGGTGGCCAGGCCCCGGGCAGCCGCCTCCGGCGGGGCGGCGGGAGCCCGGGCCGCGCGCCCGCCGGAGACCTGTTGGGCAGGTCGGGCCCTGGAGCTCGCCCCGCTCCCGGGGCAGTGGCGGCGCGGAGCGAGGCCGGCGGCCGGGCCGGGAGTGCGGCCAGAGGAGACACCCGAGCCTCCGCCAGGGCCGCGGGTGGGTCCGGCGCCGCCCAGGTCGGGCTCTGGCCCCAGGACCCCTGCGGGGGCTGGTGCTGCAGGCCGGGGTGTCTCGGGGGGCGGGGGCTGTCCGGGGCTCTCGGGCCACCCCGCTCTCACGGCCCCTCCCTCCTCTCCCCTGGGGTCGCAGCCGCCGCCCACCTGGGTGGGGCGGCGGCTTGAGGCCCTTCCCGTGCCGCCTCCTGCACCCCCGTCCTTGCAGACGGGCCCCACCCCAGCGGCCTGGGGGCGTCGTGTCCTGCCCCCTGCGCCCGCTGGAAGGGGAACCCCCGCCCGGTCCGTGGGCTCGGGCCGAGCCTGGCCCGGAGGGTGCAGCAGGGGGCCCGGGAGCCGCTCGGGGAGCGGGGCTGGCGCCCCCGGCGGCGCAGGGGATCCTGGCGCGTCCTCGCCCCGGGGCCGGGAAGCGAAGGCCGGGCCGGCGTGGTGGGGGCCCGCTGGCCAGTCTCCAGGGAAGACGCCGTGTGGAGGGGTGGGGAGGCCCGGGGGGGCGGGCGGCGGGCAGGGCAGCCGTGAGCTGAGGGCCCGGGTCCTTCCCCCACCGCCCCGCGCCCTGCAGACCCTCCTGGGGGCGCGGACGGAGCGGGGCGGGCGGGGCGGGGCGGGGCGGGCGATGCCAGCTGCTGGGGGGCAGCTCCGCGCAGACCCGGAGGCTGCCGTCCCTCCCGCGACGCACACGCGTCCTGCCGGAGCCCCTCGGCCCGGAGCTCGGGGCAGCTGCCCCCGAGTGGGGGGACGGGGCGGCCCTGAGCCGGGGGAGGCGCCAAACACCCGAGCCGGGGGCGGGCGCAGGCGACACCCCGGGGCCTGCGGCTGTATCTGGGCGCGGGCCGGGCCGCCGCGGCCGGAGACCCCGGGCTCCGGAGCGGGCGCCCTCGGGCGCGTCGGGCCGCGGCGGGGAGGGGCGCCGTCGGCCCGGGGGTCTGGCCAGCGCCGGCCGGCAGGGGCGGCGGGGACGGCGCCGCCGCGACAGGCGGCTCCTCGGGACGCCGGGCCTTTCCGACCCGCCCCCGCGAGGGCCGCGGGGCCTCCCCGGAGGCCGGCCCAGCCTGTCCCTCGCGCGCGCGGACCGGGCTTATAGCCTCACTGGGGTGCCCCGCCCACAAGTCTGATTGGGCCACTTTTCAGTCCTGCGGCTGATTGGGCCAGTTAGCACCAATCAGCTCATAGCTTGCACCTGATTGGCCCATTCCAGCCCAGGAAGTGTGCGGTTGCGTTAAAGGGCTCTGAGGCGCCCCTGCCGCGGGGGCCGTGGGCGCGCCGGGGCGTCGCGGGCGCCCGCGGGGCAGCCATCGGGTGCCGGGAGCTGAGGGCCGGGGCCAGGCCGCCTGCCGCCAGCCGGGCTGAGGCTCGGCTCGCGGCGGGCGGGGCGGGCGTCTGGCTCTTCGAGGTTCCCAGGGGTCGCCCCCGGACGCCGCATCACCACAGACGGCGGTGGCACCCCCGGCGCCGCACAGACGCGGGCAGCGGCCTTGGGGGGCCCGGAGAGCGTGTCCTGAGGGCCTGTGTCCCGTGGGCCCCAGCAGGGCCTGTGCTCCCCACACTCCCCGCGTCCCGCCGCGGTGCCGTGCTCCCCCACCCCCGCGGTGCTCCCCGCGTGCCGCCGCGGTGCTCCCCCACCCCCGCGGTGCTCCCCGCGTGCCCCGCGGTGCTCCCCCACCCCCGCGGAGCTCCCCCACCCCCGCGGTGCTCCCCCACCCCCGCGGAGCTGTGCTCCCCCACCCCCGCGGTGCTCCCCCGTGCCCCGCGGTGCTCCCCCACCCCCGCGCTGCTCCCCCACCCCCGCGCTGCTCCCCCACCCCCGCGCTGCTCCCCCACCCCCGCGCTGCTCCCCCACCCCCGCGGAGCTGTGCTCCCGCCACACCGTGGTCCCCGCGCCCCCCCAGCCCAGCGGTGTGCGCAGACCTTGCCCTCTCGTATTTTCACCTGGAACTCAGCTGAGGGGGTCACTAGCCATCACACCCCGTCTCCGCAGCAGTTGGGGTGCACCGATGGCGCCCTCCGTGCCCGCCAGCCAGCTCTGTCTGCTCCGCGGGGCGGCCCCCGCCCGGCCGCGCTCTCCCGCCGCTGGCCCCTCCGCAGGCACCGCGGTCCCCGCCCCAGCTCCCCCTCGGCGCCCCTGGGCCTGAGGCCGTCCCTGGGCCTGGGGGCTGTGGCCGCCGGCGGGAGCGTGTGCGCAGCTTCCGGAAGCCCCGCCGTCCAGGCGGCGCCCCTGTGCCTGCCCCGGCCTCCCGCCGGCGCCCCCGCGGACGCAGGGTTCTCGGGTCAGCGCCTGCCCGGCCCCCCAGGCCCCACCAGTCTGGGAGGGAGCCCAGCCTCCTGGGGTGCGGCTCCGCCCCTCGGTGGGCTCCCGGGCTGTGGGCCAGGGCCCGCCAGAGTGGCCCCGAGCCCCCTCCCCATGCTGTGGGGTGGCCGGGAGGTCGCCTGCGAGGGAGGCCTCGTGGTTTCGCTGGTCTGGCCTCTGCTTTGGGGCCAGGGCGGTGCCACTTTCCTGGCAGCCTGCCTTGGAGGCTGACTCTGGCCCTGGTGGGGCCGCCCCCCAGCCTGTCGGTGAGGCTGACGTGCCCCCAGCCCCTCTCTGGGGCTCTGCACCCTGAGTGGGGTCTGCTGGCGGCTCCGCCCGCTCCCGCCCTGGGGCTCGGACCAGTAGTTGCAGCACATCCCGCCACCAGGCTCTGTGCGGTCCCCGCGTTTTGAAGAGAAGAGGAGAAAGGGGCCACGCCCGCACGCTCGCAGGGGCGCCCTCGCGTCCACGGCAGGGGCCCACCCGCCACCTCCTTCCTTCCTGGCCGCTGCAGGAGGGTGGACGTCTCAGGACAGCTGCCCGCGGCTCCGCCCGTCCCGCAGACCCCCACCCGCCCACCCCGCTCCTCCTCTGCCGGCTCCTCCTCCGGCCTGGAGCCCGCCTGGCCCAGGGGCAGCTCGGGGCGCCGGGTGCCTCGGACATGACCTCTGACTGGCCTTGCCCTCCTGTGGCGCTCAGGGAACCAGCCGCTTCCCGCCATCGGGGCTGAATCTCGTGTGACAGCGACGGGCCTCCAGCCCGTTCCCCAGACACAGCACTGGGCCCCCCGAGCTCGCCGGCCCGCCGGCCGGGCCTGCCCCCTGCTGCCCAGCCTCGTGGCGGCCTCGCCCGGCACGTCCTCCCGACCCAGCAGCTCTGCCCAGGCAAGGGCCCATGGCAGATGGCAGCGACCGCCCCACTGGCCACCGTCCCGGTTGGCCCCGAGCTACCGGCACCGGCGCCCTCAGTGCCCCCGGCGCCCCCAGTGCCCCGTCCTGCTCTCGGCCTCCTGTGCTTTGACATGGCCGTTCTGCTGGTTGCCCGCTTGATGCCCCGCAACCCGGCTGCTGCCCCTTCCCGGGTGGAAGCAGCTGCCCTCCCTGCTGGGTGGGTGGCCGCGCCTCTAGTCAGTCACCCTCTTTTTATTTTTTAAGATTTATTTATTTATTTATGCACGCAAGAGCTGGGGTGCAGGCCAGCGGTGCGGGGTGAAAGGATGCCCCAGAGACAGAGTGGGGAGCAGCGGGGAGGCAGGAGTCGTCTGCTGTGCCTGGTGGGTCATTCCCTGGCCAGGGGTCGGACTCAGGCCGCAGGGGTGACCGCCTGAGACTTAACGCCCGCGCCCCCAGGGAGGCCCCCGTCACTCTCCTCTGGAATCTGCCCACCAGGTAGAGGCAGCTCTTCACCTGGAGACACCCCGGAGCGCAGCCTGCCTTCCCAGCCCGGCCCGCCGGCTGCACCCCCAGCTGACCGTGGCCCCACGCATGGCCCCACTGCCGCCAAGTCCCGTGCCCACATGCCGTTCTTCGAGGCACAGACACGTGCTCTCCCTTGCTCCCCATCATGCCAGGTGCCCTCTCCAGACGGCCTCGCTGTGCTGCTCACCCACAGCTCTTCCTCGGTGCCTTCAGGGCACGGGCACCGCAGAGGGCCTGGTGGACGTGGCTGGTGGCGGGGCTTGCTGTCACCTGGGAGGGCCCCCTGGCTGGCCGCCACCCTGGCTGGTGAGCTCCAGCGTGGCCAGACCACCACGTCCCGGACAGCGGATCAGTTCCTGGGGTCTGGTGCCGGCCCCGGCGGCCATGTCAGCCCCGTCCCCGCTCTGCACACACCGAGGGCCTCTTCCCAGTGCCCACATGCAAGTGGATGGGCAGGGCACCCCGGCTTGTCCTCTCAGGAAGAGCCCTGGACAGGTTGCCCTCAGCACCAGTATCGGTGGGCGCGTGGTCCGGCTCCAGAGTGGCGGGGGGGGGGGCGGCTGCCAGCACCAGGCTCCCCTTTCATGCCTCAGGCCCTGCCCGGCTGGGGCTGCCCACCTGGGCCCACACTCCTGGGCAGGGTGCTGCCCGGGCTGGAATAATCGCCAGATTATCTCTGTTTGACATTCCAGGGAGGCCTAGGGCAGTTTGTGGACGGGGTGGGGCCGCCTGCCCTGGCCTGGGCGTGGTGCGTGGCTGGCCCCGAGGGCACTGGGGTCTGATGGGCTGTGGCAGAGGCGGCTGGCAGCGATGGTGGAGGCCGGTGAGGGGCAGCCAGCTGGCAGGGGCGTGTGGCCTGAGGGCCCAGAGGGGCAGGGTGGCGCTGGCCTGGAGGCCCCCGCACAGGGCTGTCCTGGGAGGGACCCTGGGACTCCTGGGCAGGGCGAGTGCGTGGAGATGCCCTCTGGGCTCCTGGGCTGTGTGTGCTGGGGCAGCTGACAGGCAGAGGGTGGGCCCAGGCGTCTAGCCCCTCGGACTGGGCTGCCCACAGCCGGGCCCGCAGGTGGCCTTCTCCAGGCCCACGCCCAGTGGCCCCGGCCTGTCTCAGTCTCTGAGCTCCGTGACCCTGGGGCCTCCGGGGCAGTGCAGGTGGCAGGCGGGTCTGGCAGAGGGCACGGGCCACTGCGCTGCCTGGGGTCACCATGTCCCCGGTGCCCGCTCTGGGCTCTGGGCTCGTCCCCGGCGGCTGGGTCGGGGCTCGGGCAAAGTCCAGGTCGGGCGAGGGCTGAGGCTGGCAGGCGACTGGGGCCCCTAGGACAGGGGGGCCTGACCTAGTTCCATCTGGCCCAGGACGGCTCCTTCCGGAACGAAGGGGATGCTCGCTGAGACCCCGAGCTCGAGTCTGGCCCGCGCAAGGCCCGGCCAGGTGAGGGGGGACTCCTGGGGCCGGCGGGGCTGTGGGGGCACCCCAGAACCAGTGCTCGCAGGCAGGGGTGTGGCCTGGCAGGACAGCAGGCCGTGCTCAGGCAGAGCTGCTCAGGCAGAGCTGCCCACGCCGGTGCCGCTAGCCTCGTGCCTGACGGCCACCTGTGCCGCGATGCGCCTCCGCTGGCCAGGCCGCCGCGGTCTGGGGCAGGGTGCAGGCAGGATGGGTGGAGCCGAGGCGCAGGAGACCCTGGGGCCATTTGGCGCCCAAGTGGGGTGCCCTGACCCCCCAGTCCCGGGGAGACGAGGGGAGGCTGGGCCTGGGTGGGGCCCCTACTCCGCTGAACACCCTCGGGGCGACCTGGGCACTCCCAGGCAGGACTGGGTGTCCACACTGGGCAGGCCCACACCTGTGCCACCTGTAGCCCACCCTTCCCCATCAGGGCCCAACCTTGACCCATGCCTCCTCCCCCCTCCTCTGACCGCAGGGACTAGCCGTCTGCGCCTGGCACCCCAAGGGTTTCTGAGGACGCTGTTGCAGACACCTCTGCTCGTGGCGAGCTGGCTGCGTGGGGAGCCTGACCCCAGGGCAGGGAGCCCTGCCTGCTAGCCACAGCCCCTCAATGGTGCCCACACTCTGACCCTGGAGGACAGACGGGAGGGAGAGGGGCGGGAAGCCAGGCCATGGCTGCCCCCAGGCCCCACATGGGCCCCTGAGACCTGGAAGGCGAGAGTCGTTCTGGGGCGTCAGGGCCTCTGCTCACCGCCCGGCCCTCCCTTCTCCCCTTGGGGGTGCCAGGAGCCATCACCCTGTTGGCTGAGTGATTAGTTTCAGAGCCTGGACTGAGCTGGTCAGCTGCAGCAGGGTCCAGAGGGAGGCGAGGCCAGCCCCGAAGAGTGCCCAGGCACTCCCTCCCCACCCTCTGCTGGCCAGCGGCCCCCCCAGCTGCGGCGGGCCCTGACCCAGCGGTGCTAGGGGCAGAGGGCACCCACTTCCGGGAGGGGATGCCCCGAAGGGTGCCCTTCCAGCCGGCTACCCCGCCCCTCAGGCCTGCGCCTGAGCCCACGTGCTCCCGCCCAGCGCCCGGCGCAGCGCCCCCCACAGGCCACCCCCGTCATGGCCGAGCACCTGGAGCTGCTGGCCGAGATGCCCTTGGTGGGCAGGATGAACGCACAGGAGCGTCTGCAGCACGCCCAGCGGCGCCGCGCCCGGCAGGTGAAGCTGTGGGCCCAGGCTGAGAAGGAGGCGCAGGGCATGCGGGGCCGCGGAGGGCCACCCCCAGGGGAGGTGGCCAGCATCCAGCCACGGAGGCGCGTCCTCTTCCCCCCCAGTGTGGCCTTGCTGGAGGCCGCTGCCCGCAACGACCTGGAGGAAGGTGAGTGGCTGAGCCCCGGGCAGTGCTTGGCCAAGGCCCGACCGTGGGCTCAGGCAAAGGGGTGGCCGTGCTGGTCCTCAGCTGCAGGCCCTGTGCAGGTACCCAGGCCAGCTGAGGTCAGCATGCGGGCGGGAGGAGGTGGGAGGGGCGCTGGGCACAGCTGCCTGCCAGTTGCCCAGGAGTCCTCGACCAGAGCCTGGAGGGGCACCTGCTCTGCCGTGGGCAGGCCTGGGGTTGCCGGGCACGGCTCTAGCTCCAGGCAGGCCAGGCCAGCTCTGGGGAGGGGTTGCAGGGGCAGCGAGGTGGGGTAGTGGTCTTCTGAGGAGCAGCAGGGGAGCCAAGTGGACAGGTGGTTGAGGGTGGTGCTAGCACCTGGGCGGGTGACAGGGCCAGTCTGGGGCCCAGTGGGCTGCTCTGGGGTGGCCCCGAGGCCCAAGGCTGGAGCTCAGGTCTTCTCTGCCCGCCCCCCGCCCCATGCCACTGCCCCTGCCCCGCTCAGCAGTCAGCCCGGTGCCCCCAGCAGGAACAGTGCGGGCCTGTCCCGTGGCCCCTGTCCCTGACCACATCTGCCCCCTTCCTGCAGTCCGCCAGTTCCTGGAGAGCGGGGTCAGCCCTGACCTGGCCAACGAGGACGGCCTCACAGCCCTGCACCAGGTCAGCCCTGCAGTTGGGGGCAGGCAGGGCTGGGGGCGCCGGGGCTGCTGCTCAGGCTCGTGTCTGTAGAGCTGCATCGATGACTTCCGGGAGATGGCACAGCAGCTGCTGGACGCTGGGGCCACGGTCAACGCTCGGGACAGCGAGGGCTGGACACCCCTGCATGCTGCAGCCACGTGCGGCCACCTGCAGCTGGTGGAGCTGCTCATCACTCGGTAGGCCACTGTTGGCAGGCGCGGCGGCGGGCCAGAGTGGGGCCCTTGCAGAGGCGCTGAGTCCCGCCCGGGAAGAGCCTACTCTGGGCCCCGCGCCTCCCCCCAACCCCATGCATGTGCTCACTGCCTGCTTCCTGGGTGGACAGCAGGGCCAGGGCAGTGGCCGCAGGTGCCCCCCAGGGAAACCTCCTGGGTCCAGAGCAGCCTGGCCTCTGCCTCCCCAGGGTCTGCACAGGGAGATGCTGCCTGCCCGGTGCAGCGTGTGGGCTGCAAGGAGGGCGGCCCCGGGAGGCTCTGCGCAGGAGGGCGCCTGCCCCATGCACCCTGAGGGTTGGCTTCACAAGGACCCAGGTGCTTTCTCCCTTACGCACCCCAACACCTGGGACTGGGCTGTCCTGGGGCATCTGGTGTTGCCGGGTGGGGGTGTCCTCAGCAGCAGGGGGTGGGCACAGGCAGCCCCAGGAATGGGCGACCAGCCCAGGTGGCTCCAGGCAGAGGCCCCCTGGCCTGGGAGCATGGCCATGCACTTGGGCAGGCCCTGCCTGGGAGGAGGACAAGATCAGAGCTGGGGGCTGGCCGCAGGGGTGGCCTGAGGGGCGACCACCCCCATTAGCAAATTGCCCTGTCCACCCTGTCCTGGAGGGCAGCCCGAGGCGGATGACCTGAGGGGCTGAGGCGGCTGTCCCTCCTGCTCGCAGGGGCGCTGACCTCCTGGCTGTGAACACGGATGGAAACATGCCCTATGACCTCTGTGAGGACGAGCAAACGCTGGACTGCCTGGAGACGGCCATGGCCGACGGCGGTGAGTGCTGCCCCTCCCCCCCACAGCGGCATACCCCTCCACCACCACCCCGCTGAGCCGCTGCCCTGCAGGCATCACACAGGAAGGCATCGAGGGTGCGCGGGCCCTGCCAGAGCTGCACATGCTGGACGATGTGCGGAGCCTGCTGCGGACTGGGGCTGAGCTGGAGGCCCCCGGCGACCATGGGGCCACGCTGGTAAGGATGTGGCACAGCTGGTGCTGGTTGGGGAGGCGGCTGCGGGGGCCTGGACCTCAGGGGAGTTTGCCTGCAGCTGCATGTCGCCGCCGCCAACGGGTTCGGTGAGGTGGCCGCCCTGTTGCTGGAGCGCGGCGCCAGCCCGCGCGCCCGGGACCTGGACGGCTGGGAGCCACTGCACGCTGCGGCCTACTGGGGCCAGGTGAGCCGGCGTGGCCACTGGGACCAGGTGAGCGGGGCCGGGCTACGGCCAGCAGCTTCTGTGCCAGGGCACCCTCAGCATTCCCGCGTCCCTGGCCCACAGGTGCACCTGCTGGAGCTGCTCGTGGCGCACGGGGCTGACCTGAACGCCAGGTCCCTGATGGACGAGACGCCCCTGGGTGAGCCGGCGCGCCTCTGCCTGGCCGAGGACGGCGCGAGGGCGCTGGTGACCCTCCGCCCGCTTCTCTGCAGACGTGTCCGTGGACGAGGAGGTGCGGGCCAAGCTGCTGGAGCTGAAGCACAAGCACGACGCACTCCTGCGCGCCCAGGGCCACCAGCGCTCTCTGCTGCGCCGCCGCACCTCCAGCGCCGGCAGCCGGGGGTGAGCGCCCGCCCCGCCCCGCCCCGCCCCGCCCCGCCCCGCCGACGTCACGCCCCACCCCGCTGACGTCACGCCCCGCCCGCCGCCCGCGGGCGCCCTGGGCAGAGTCCAAGGCCCTGCGGGCCCGCCCCCATGGCCCCTCCGCGCCCCCAGGAAGGTGGTCCGGCGGGTGAGCCTGACGCAGCGCGCCAGCCTGTACCGCAAGGAGCACGCCCAGGAGGCCATCGTGTGGCAGCAGCCGCCGCCCACCAGCCCCGCGCCGCCGGCGGACGACGAGGACGGCCGGACAGATGCCGAGCTGCGGCCGCCGCCCCCCGAGGTGAGCCCGCCCCCGGCTCCGCCCCCCGCCCGGCCCGCGGCGCCCTGGACGACGGCCAGCCCGGGGTCGGCGGAGGCCAGAAGGGCTCCCGTGGTGACCTGCGGGCCGCGGGGTCCACAGGAGGACAGCCCCGAGCCCGCCAGGCCGCACAACGGCCGAGTGGGCGGCGCCGCGCGGCACCTGTACTCCAAGCGGCTGGACCGCCGCGTCTCCTACCAGCTGCCCGCCCTGGACAGCGCCGCCCCCGACGGCCCCCACCGCGCCAGGGCCCACCACACCCTGGCCGAGCTCAAGCGCCAGCGCGCGGCCGCCAAGCTGCAGCGCCCCCTGCCCGAGGGGCCCGAGGACGCCGAGCACCCCCGGGCCACCTCGGGGGCTGCGGGAGAGCCCCCCCTGCTGAAGCTCACAGCCCCCTCGGAGGAGACCCCCGCGGAAAAGAGACCCTGCTGCCTCCTCATGTGAGGGGCGCCCAGGCCGGCTCTGGACCCGTGTGTGCGCCGCGCCCGGCCCGGCGCCGCCCTTCCGAGACCTGATAAAGGGCGTCCCGCCACATTCCTTGTCGCGTGTCTCTGGGGCAGCGCCCCAGGGGCCCTCGTGGGTGGGGGCCCCGGAGCTGAGCCGCCTGGGCGCGCCGTCCTGTCCCGCGGCTCTCCGGGGCTTGTGGGGCCTCGGCAGCCCGGCCCCGCGTGGGATGGGGGGTGCCGCCCCTGGGCAGGAAGCCCGGGCTGCCTCCACACAAGGTTCCCAGAGGGCTCTGCCCCCCGTGGGCTCTGCCCTGCGGGAGCGGCTCCCAGGCGAGGGCAGGGCGCTCTCCCAGCCCTGTCGGTGGCAGCCTGGGGGCGGTCCCTGGGTCTGGCAGGCAGCCCCGACCTGGCCCGGCTGCCAGCTTTCCCGGCCCGGCTAGCAGCTGGACGCTCCGGCTCTGAGCCGGCCAGGACCATGTGTCCGGGGGACAGGGGTCCCTCAGGGGCCTCGAGCAGGAGGGCAGGGCACTGGCCTCTCCTCCCTCCGTGGTGGGCCGTGCGGGTGGCGCAGGTTGGGGCCACTTTCCGTGCCCTGGAGGACATCAGCTGTGCCCAGGGTCCGCCCTCCCCCCAGCCCCCAGCGGTGGGCTGGCTGTCCTCGCGGGCCGGGGGCGGGCTGGGGGCACGGCCAGTTGAATTTAGCGTCGGGGGTGGAACCGCCGCCCAAGGTCCACCTGCCCCTTGCCGCCACTGGGGCGCTGCTGCAGGGGGCGGGCAGGGCTGGCTCCGCCTGGGACGGGCCCATATTAATGGCCCTCTGGCTGGGGGAGGAGGAACCGGCCTGCACACGGGAAGCCGAGGTGGCAGCGGAGCCAGCGTGAAGGGAGCCCACGCCCGCACAGGTGAGGCCCAGGCCCGCTGTTCCCTCTGGGGCTGGCAGGCGCGGACAGTCAGGCCCTGGCGGCCACCACAGCCCCGCATCTGGGCGCCGGCAGGGAGGGGAGGCTGCCCCTGGCACGGCAGCAGGTGGGGCCCCGTGGGCCTGTCCCTGCACAGCCACCTGCCTTTCTCCCCGCCAATCAGGAGCCACAGGGAAGTGGCCCTCAGGCCGGCCTGGCGCCTGCGGTGTGGCCCCAAGGGCAGCCCTGGCTGGTGCAGGGTGCCCAGCACTGCCCTACCCAGGCTCCAGCCCCTCCCCCTGCCGCAGCCTGGCAGCACGACCTGGGGCCAAGGGTCACTGTGGGTCCTTGAGCTCCAGGCCATGGCCACCAGCCGGGAGGGACCAGATGGAACCTGGGGTCTGAGCACCTCATTCCCCTCCCCCACGCCCTGGATTCCTGAGGCTGGCTCAGTTACCCGGGAGACAGGCCTGCGGCCAGGGCAGGCATGGGGGGCCTCAGGCAAGCTCTGCTGGGGTAACCCTCCAGAGGCCTCTCCCTTCAGGGGTCTTCAGGGGTCACCCTCCCGAGCTCTGCCCCTTCCCGCAGCTGCCACCCGCCTCTGCCCAAGCCTGGTCCCTCAGCGTCGCCTGGGCCTTCCGCCCGTCCCTGCCCCCCGTCTGGGTCTCCTGCTGCCCTGGCACGGGGACACTGGGCGGGCACTGGGCTCCACCCCAAGCCCCGCCTGCCTGCTCACCCACTCACCAGGCTCCCTGGGGCAGGCCGTGCCCAGCGGCCGGCGGGGCGGGGCCTGCTGGCCCAGCTCCCCTCAGCCCCACCGTCCCCTCAGTGGGGCCCACGGGTTGCAGCCAGAGGGTGTCCACTCCCCTTGAGACCCCCTCCCACCCCCGCCCCTGAGCCTGGACCAGCCTCGCTGGTGCCCACCTTGGGCCCTGCCGCCTCCTGAGCCGCCCCTCGCCTGTTCCGAGCAGGAAAATGGCGCTGAGAGCAGGTGACCACGGCAATGCCGCTGCCAACGGGCTGAAGGAGAAGGTGCTGACGCTGGACACCATGAACCCCTGCGTGCGCAGGGTGGAGTACGCCGTGCGCGGCCCCATCGTGCAGCGGGCGCTGGAGCTGGAGCAGGAGCTGCGCCAGGTACGCCGGCCGCACGCCGGGGAGCGGAGGGCAGCCGTGCTGGCCACTGACCAGTGCCGCGGGGCCAGGCCCACCTCCTGACCGCCGTCCTCGCCCCGACCCCCTCCAGGGCGTGAAGAAGCCTTTCACGGAGGTCGTCCGCGCCAACATCGGGGACGCGCACGCCATGGGCCAGAAGCCCATCACCTTCCTGCGCCAGGTGAGGCTGGCGTTGCCCGCACCCCCCCCCCGCTCCCCCCCGCTCGGGCTCAGCACTCGCCCTCCCAGGTCCTGGCCCTCTGTGTCCACCCTGAGCTCCTGAGCAGCCCGCAGTTTCCCGAGGACGCCAAGAGCCGGGCCCAGCGCATCCTGCAGGCGTGCGGGGGCCACAGCCTGGGTACGTGCTGCGGTGGGGGGCGGCGCCCGGGGGGAGCCGGCGGGGCCGCCCCTCACCCCGCCCCCGCCTCCAGGCGCCTACAGCGTCAGCGCGGGCATCCCGCTGGTCCGCGAGGACGTGGCGCGCTACATCGAGCGGCGCGATGGCGGCATCCCCGCGGACCCCAGCAACATCTTCCTGTCCACGGGGGCCAGCGACGCCATCGTGGTAGGCCAGGGCCTGTGGCTCAGGGCGCCGGGGCTCTCCGCGCGGGTGCAGCCCGCGGCCCGCCTACCCTGCCGCCCCCTCCCGCCCTCAGACGGTGCTGAAGCTGCTGGTGGCGGGCGAGGGCCGCGGGCGCACCGGTGTGCTCATCCCCATCCCCCAGTACCCGCTCTACTCGGCCGCGCTGGCCGAGCTGAACGCGGTGCAGGTGGACTACTACCTGGACGAGGAGCGCTCCTGGGCGCTGGACGTGGCCGAGCTGCGGCGCGCCCTCCAGCAGGCGCGGGGCCACTGCCGCCCGCGGGCGCTCTGCGTCATCAACCCCGGCAACCCCACCGGTGCGCCGCGCCCCGCCCCGCCCGCCCCGCCCGCCCCGCCCGCCGCGCCCGCCCCCGGCCCGGCGGGGATGGGGCGCGCCTCCGCTGACCCCCACGTCCCGCGCCCCAGGGCAGGTGCAGACGCGCGAGTGCATCGAGGCCGTGATCCGCTTCGCCTTCGAGGAGAGGCTCTTCCTGATGGCTGACGAGGTCTGGGGGCGCGCGGGCCGGGGGCGCGGGCGGGCGGAGGCGCGGGCCGGGGGTGACGCGCCCGCCTGCAGGTGTACCAGGACAACGTGTACGCCGAGGGCTCGCGCTTCCACTCCTTCAAGAAGGTGCTCGTGGAGATGGGGCCGCCCTACGCGACGCAGCAGGAGCTCGCCTCCTTCCACTCGGTCTCCAAGGGCTACATGGGCGAGTGAGTGCGGCCGCGGGCGCCTGCGGACCCGGCTGGGCAGGCCGGCCCCTGCCTCCGCCTCGACGCCCGCGCTCGCCTCGCAGGTGCGGGTTCCGCGCCGGCTACGTGGAGGTGGTGAACATGGACCCCGCGGTGCAGCAGCAGATGCAGAAGCTGATGAGCGTGCGGCTGTGCCCGCCCGCGCCGGGCCAGGCGCTGCTCGACATGGTGGTCAGCCCGCCCGCGCCCTCGGACCCGTCCTTCGCGCAGTTCCAGAAGGTGGGCCGGAGCCCGGGGCGCGGGGCACCTGCGCGGGGGCGGGCGGGCGCCGGCCCGCGGCCCGGATTGACGAGCCTCCCTCCCGGGCCCAGGAGCGGCAGGCGGTGCTGGCCGAGCTGGCGGCCAAGGCCAAGCTCACGGAGCAGGTCTTCAACCAGGCCCCGGGCATCCGCTGCAACCCGGTGCAGGGCGCCATGTACTCCTTCCCGCGCGTGCAGCTGCCCCCGCGCGCCGTGCAGCGCGCTCAGGTCAGGCGCGGGGCGGCGGGGGCGGCGGGGGCCGCGCCCTGGGTCTCGCCAGCCCTGACCGCGCCCTCGCCCCAGGAGCTGGGCCTGGCGCCGGACATGTTCTTCTGCCTGCGCCTGCTGGAGGAGACGGGCATCTGCGTGGTGCCCGGCAGCGGCTTCGGCCAGCGCGCGGGCACCCACCACTTCCGGTGAGCCCCCCGCCCCCCGCCCCCGCGCCCCCCCGCCCCCGCCCGGCTCACCGAGCTCCCGCTCCCCCAGGATGACCATCCTGCCCCCCATGGAGAAGCTGCGGCCCCTGCTGGAGAAGCTGAGCCAGTTCCACGCCGAGTTCACCCGCGAGTACGCCTGACCCGGACCGCAGCCGCGGGCCGGCCCGCCCTCCGCACACCCCCAATAAAGGCGTGAGAAAGTGGCCGCGGGGCCCCGGGCTCGCCGGACGTGCCTCTGTCCCCCTGCTGCCGTCGGGCTGCGGGCGGCCTGGGCAGCCCCTGTGACCGTGCGGGGGCGGAGGGGCGGGGGCTCCCGGCGGGCCGCGCGCAGGACGAGCGGACAGGAGGGGTGTGGAGGGCGCCTGGCGGGCACCTCCCGGGGAGACCCCAGCCGCTGGGGCGGGCGTGGCGGGCGAGGGCGGGCTCTGGGGCCGCAGGGGAGAGCCCTGGCTGCGGGGGCGGCGGGGCGCGTCCCGGGCACAGCCGGGTCGGGCGGCCGCGAGCTGGCCCGGGGGTCGGCGCTGGAGCCGCCCCCCCCCCAGGGCCACGCTGGGCCGCCTCTGCCGCATCTGGGGCGCCCACCGGGCGGAGGGGCTGCAGGAGGCCGCAGGGCGCCGAGCCTGGGATCGGGGTCCTGGGCCAGCCTCGCGCCACCGCTCGCTGGAGCGGCCCCTGGCCTGGGCAGGGCCGCGCCCAGGGCGGACAGTGAAGCGGCCCGTCCCCCGCGGGGCCGCGCCTGGCCCGCCGCGCCCGCGCCGTCCACCGGGGGCGCCAGAGGCGGCGCCGACGCTCTGGCCCGCGCGTCTCGGTGGCCGCCGGCGTCCGGCCGGCGCAGGACGCGGCGGTGGCTCCCCGGGGCGCGAGGCGGTGACGCCGCCGCGCCCGCCCCGACCTCTGGCCCCGCCCCGAGCCATGACCCGCGCCCCTGCCCCGGTCGGCCGGCCGCGCGCGGAGAGGGGCCCCGGAGCCCGGCCATGCGCGGGAAGCTGCTGCCGCTGGCCGGCCTGTACCTGGTGCAGGGCCTGCCCTACGGGCTGCAGTCCGGCCTGCTGCCCGTGCTGCTGCGCGCCGCCGGGCTCTCCCTGACCCGCGTGGGGCTGGCCAAGGCGCTGTACGCGCCCTGGCTGTTCAAGCTGCTGTGGGCCCCGCTGGTGGACGCGCGCGGCTCCCCGCGCGCCTGGCTGGCGCTCAGCACGGCCGCCCTGGGCCTGGTGTGCGGGCTGCTGGCCGCGCTGCCCCCCGCGGAGGCCGGCCAGGCCGTGCTGCCCCCGGCGGCGGCTGGGCTCCTGCTGCTGCTTAACCTGGGGGCGGCGGTGCAGGACGTGGCCCTGGACACGCTGGCGGTGCAGCTCCTGGAGCCTGCAGAGCTGGGGCCTGGCAACACAGTGCAGGTGGTTGCCTACAAGCTGGGCGCCGTGCTGGGCGGGGGAGGCCTGCTGGCCCTCGTGCCCGCTCTCTCCTGGCACCTGCTTTTTCTGCTCCTGGCCACTATGTACTGGCTGGCTGCTGCCCTGGCCTGGGCAGCACCGGCCCTGCAGCAACTGCCCCCGCCGCAGCACGCAGCAGCGCCCCCGCGCCGTCTGCAAGACCTGCTGGCGGTGCCCGGGACCCTGTGGACAGCAGGCTTTGTGCTCACTTACAAGCTGGGTGAGTGGGCCCTGATCCAGGCTGTGGGGTGGGAGCTGAGGAGCCTGGGACAGTGGGGACCACAGGACCCACTTGGGTGGGCAGCCCTGCAGGCCAGTGCTGCGCTGGAGGCTGGGGGAGGTACAGCTGTCTCCCCTGGCTCTGGCTGCACGGCCACCGAGCCTGAGCTGGCCCTGAATTGGCTGACACCAAGGCCCAGTGGGGATTCCCCAGGTGAGGGAGGTGCCCCCCCTGCTCAAGGTCTCCCTGCAGGTGAGCAGGGTGCCAGCAGCCTGTTTCCTCTCTTCCTGTTGGACCGTGGCCTCTCCCCCCAAGAGCTGGGGCTGTGGAACGGAGTGGGGGCCGTGGCCTGCTCCATCGCTGGCTCCGCCCTGGGGGGTGCCCTGCTGGCCAGGCACTGGTGAGCCCCCACACCCCCACTGCCTGCAGGTGCTCCACTCACCTCTGCCTCAGAATCCCCCACTCTCCTTGACTTCCCCGCGCACCCCCGCCCAGCTCCCACACGTAGCCCACCTCCTGCCCCAGGCAGCCACTGCCCCTGCTGAGGTCAGCACTTCGGCTCCGCATTGGGGGCCTGGCCTGCCAGACCGCCCTGCTCCTCCACCTGGACACGCCTGGGGCCGCCCTGGGCCCGGGCACAGCCCCCAGAGGTGAGGGGCCCGCCCGGGAGTGGGGTAGGGTGGGGGCCGGAGCCCTGCTGACCTGGGCTTTCCCAGGGGCAGCCTTGCTGAGCCTGTGCCTGCAGCATTTCCTGGGGGGCCTGGTCACGACGCTGGTGTTCACCCTGATGATGTGCTGCAGCCGGCGGGCGCCCGGCGCCCTGCAGGTGAGGGAGGGGCTGGACACTGCCCAGGCTGTGGGGCTGGGCCCCCCAGGCCCTGACCTGCCCTCCCCTCCCCCCCAGGCCACACACTACAGCCTCCTGGCCACCCTGGAGCTGCTGGGCAAGCTGCTGCTGGGCGCCCTGGCGGGGGCCCTGGCAGATAGCCTGGGCCTGCAGCGCTGCTTCTTCTCCTTCCTCGCCCTCACGGCCACGCCGCTCCTCTACCTGGGCCTTGTGCCCGGCTCCCCGGACTGAACTGCCAAGGCCGGGCTGCTCAAGACGTGGCCCGCAAAGCTGTCCCCGGACTGCGTGCCGCACCACACAGGGGCATTAAAAGCTACTTCATTGTCTTTATTCTGTGTTTTGGGGGTGCTGGTTCCCACTAGGGCTGTGGGAGCTGCACTCCTGCTCCCTGCTCTGACGCCTGCCTGCTTGGGTGGTCAGCAGGTCCGTGCCAGGATCTCCTCTGTGGCCAGGTGCATAAGTGCATGGAAGCTCAGGTGCAAGTACTTCCTCCAGAACCGCCGGTCCCGCCCGTACACCTGGGCCGGGTAGCGGGGGCTTCCTGCGGCAGGGCAGGGGCAGAGAGCCCCGGAGATGGCCTGAGCACCCACTGGTCCGGCCCCACCCGCCTGCTTACCCGGGGCCAGGCGAGAGCCCAGGGTCTCACCGATGCCATGGAAGATGCGGGCCACCGCCCTGCCCGAGAACTGCTGCTCTGGCCACGCAGACAGGAGGTGGCGGGTGTCCCTGCGGACCTGGTCCTCCCAGCCGTGCAGCTGTGGGTGGGCAGCAAGTCAGGACACCTGTTTCCCAGGCCGCCAGCCATGGTGCAGGCGGGGGTGAGGCTGGCAGGGTCACGGGCAGGTGGCACTCACCTCGGCCTGGCCTGGCCCCGGCCCGGGCTCCTCCTCCAGGATCCCTGGGTCCTCCTCTTCCTCGAAGTAGCGGCCGAGCAGTGCCTTGAGCCTGGCGCTTCGCTCCTGGTCAGCCTGCTCTAGGCAGGGTCCGCAGCTGGGGAAGGCGACGCTGGGGGAGGGTGAGCCAGTGCTCAGTGCCACGTAGGGGCAGGGGCGAGGGCAGGGGGTGGGGCAGGCATCACCCACCCCTGGGTACCTGTGGAACAACTGGAAGGCGTGGTGTAGCCGCGCCAGAGACACCCGCTCGCGAGCACACACGCGGCCGTACAGAAAGTCACAGATCTGATCCTTCTCCTCGGCTGTCAAATCCCCACGGCTGCGCAGGTGGAAGGCCAGCTCCCTGAACTCGACCCGCACCCCGGGGTCTGTGCGGCCACCTACCGGGAAGAGCGTCAGGCACGGGGGTTGTGGGGAGCTGGGGCGGGGGGTGGGGGGTGGGCAGGGCGCACCTGTGCTGGGCTCTGGGTCCCGCTGCAGCCGGCGGAGCGCCTGCCGCACAGGGGCCAGCTCCCAGCCCATGGAGTCCGCCAGCTGCACCACATCAAACTCCACGGACACGCCGCCCCTGCTCTGGGTCTCAAGTGGCTGGCAGGCCAGGCCCGTGGCCAGAGTGGCGCATCTGTGGGGCAGGCGCAGGGCTGGTCAGCCAGCAGGGTCACGTCCTGTCCCCCGCCCGGGTGGGAGGTGGCTTACCTGCGGGCCAGGGTCTGAACTTCAGCAGGGCCGCCGGGGCAGTGCAGGCGGCAGCGTGTGTAGGTGGGCGGCAGCAGCTGTAGCCAGCGCTGCGGATGCAGCTCGAGGTAGCACAACAGCGTCTCCACAGCTGCAGGGGAGGAGCAGGCTTAGGCGGGTGCCGCCGGTACTGTGTGGGGCCACCCCACGGGCCCCCTGTGCTCACCCTCTGGGGGCATGTCCAGTGCTTCCGTAGTGGGCTGCATCGGGAGCGCCCGCCTGTGACCCGGGCACTGGGCTGCGGGTCTGTGGCTGGGGTGCTTGGTCTCAGGTGGGGACGAGGTCCAGGCAGCCTGGGCCTCGGGCCTGTCCCTGCCCTCCTGCCCACCAAGCGGCTGGATGCAAGGGCAGGGTGGAAAAACTTGCTGCACCAGCCTCTTCATGGCCAGGAAATCGGTGGCCTCAGCGTGCACATGCCTGCGCAACTCGCGCAGGTCCTCACCCTGCACAGGTGGGCAGGCGGGTGTGAGAGCAAGGCCTGGGTGGGGGCGGGGCGTGCGGGGCGTGCGGGGCACCCACCTGGGGCTGCAGGAAGAGGTGGCAATGCGCCGGCTGCCCGTCGCGCCCGGCCCGGCCCACTGCCTGCACGTAGCTCTCCAAGCTCGGGGGCAGCCCCAGGTGCAGCACAGCCCGCACGTCCGGCCGGTCCAGCCCCATCCCGAAGGCCACCGTGGCCACCACCATGCGCAGTCGGCCCCCCATGAAGGCCCGCTGCACCCGCTTCCGCTCCTGGGCACACATGCCAGCGTGGTAGGCCTCGGCGACCTCCTCTGGGCCGTGACCTACAGAAAGGCAGTGGCACTCAGTGGGGGCGCAAGCTGTGGCGAGGGAGGTGTGGCTGCGGGGGGTGGGGGTGCCCTGCCCATCTCACCTCCAGACCCCGGGCCCCTAGCTGCAGGCAGGCAGGTGCGCAGCAGGGCAGCCACCCGCTCCGTGTCCTCCCGCCGGACGCAGTAGATAATGATGGCGTCCAGAGCTTGGAAGCGGTCACTGCGCAGCAGGGTCACCAGGGCCTGGCAGAGAACAGTGGTCAGCCTGGGCGGGGGTGCAGGCAGGGGTTCCACCTACCGGGCATGGGTGCTCACCTGGTTGGGATCCCTGTCCATGGACACAGAGAGGTGCAGGTTGCTGGGAACGGCAGCCGGCCGCTCAAGGCCCGCCTCCCCAGCCACCCCCAGGTGCTGGGCCACGTCCCGGGCGGTGCGGCGTGTGGCCGTGGCTGTGAGGCCCAGGAAGCAGCGCACACCCAGCTGTTCCCGCAGCACCTGTGGGGGAGGGGAATTAGGCTCTGCCTGCCCAGGCATCCCCTCCCACCCCACCCCCGCGAGCCTCACCTTACAGACTCGCAGGTAGCAGGGCCGGAAGTTGTGGGCCCACTGAGAGAGACAGTGGGCCTCGTCCAGGCAGGCAAAGGAGATGGGGGGGAGTTGGGGGAGGTGGCTGGTGCCCCCAGGCCCCACAAGTGTCTCAGGCGACACCATCAGCACCTGCACTTTGGCTGCCTGGACCTGTGGGTACACCCCGGTCAGGAAACCTGACTGAAGCCCCCAACCCAGGACCAGCCCCCCGAAAGGAGCCCCTCACCTTTTTCCAGACGGCCTCTCGCTGCTGCCTGGTCATGCCTGAGTGGACGCACGCCGCCCCTAGGCCCCGGGGCAGCCCAGACATCTGCGGACAAGAGCAACCCACTGTCCCCCGCCACCTGTCCTGTCCTTGGAGGCAAAGCCCAGACCCGGTGCCTGAGACCGGGAGGTTGGGCCACTGTGAGTGCTGGGAGCTGGTCTGGCCACCACGTTTCTCCTGTCCCTGGGCCACACCAGGGCTGGGAGCCGAGATGGTCCAGCCCCTTCAGCTCTGGTGCAGGCGAACAAGGTGCAGCAGCCCACGGGGACCAGAGGAGCTGGGAAGGCATGCCCCCACACCAATCTTTGCTTACTGGTCCCGTTACCCACCTGATCATCCATGAGAGACAAGAGGGGCGAGACGACCAATGCTAGGCAAGGTTGGCGCCGGGCGTAGAGCACAGCAGGGAGCTGATAGCATAGGGACTTGCCAGCGCCCGTGGGCAGCACGAGCAGTGTGGACAGGCCTGGGAGGGCAAGGAGTCAGCAGTGCTGGCCGGAGATTCCTCCCCACTGGGCAGCCCCGGGGCCCTGCTCACCAGACAACACCCGCATGACCGCCTGTTCCTGCCCAGGGCGGAAGGCCTGGTGCCCCAGTTGCCGCAGGGCCTGAAACACCTCCGCCGGGGTCTCTGTGGACAGAGACAGTGGGCAGCCAGGCCCCAGGCAGCCAAGCCCCAGCCACCCCCGCCCTGCTCCGCCTGGCCGCGTCTACTCACCTGCCACCTGCCCCGAGGGTCCCAGTGGGTAGAGGGGCGGCACAGGCTGGGGCAAGCAGGGCTCCGCGGGCCCCAAGGGTTCAGACTCAGGAGGCTCTGTGTCTTCCTTGCCCTCTGGGGGCAGACAAGAGGGCGGAGGAGGAGCTCTAGGCTGGCAGGAAGACTTCTGGTAAGCCAGACCGCCACCCGGCCCGGATCTCTACTCACCTGCTACGTAGTGGGAGGCAACGCCTGGCTCCCGGGCTCCTTCCTCCAATGTGAACGGCATCTGCCTGCCACCCTCCGCTCCTCCAACCGCCTTTGGGGGTGCCGAGGCAGGTTCTAGACCAGAACAGAGCCAGCAAAGTACTTCAGCGAGAAGTACCCCCACCCCAAGACAGTACTCTCTCCAGGCAGTGCCCCACCCACCTCCCAGGGCAGGCCTTGCCCACTGGGGGCCTCACCCCGCTGGGGGCACCGGGATGCCCAGTGGCCAAGCTGCCCACACTGGAAACAAGATGCCTCGGCTGTGGCCCCAGACCGATGCCCCACAAGATAAGCTTTCTTCTGCCACTTCTGTTTCCACACCTGGGCGTGGGAATATCGTAAGGCAAAGTGATGAGGCAAGAAATAGTGGCATGAGGAGCTGTCTGCCACCACTCACCTGCCTGCGGAGGAGCCTGCTGTGCATAGTGCCCCGCGTGTAGCGCCTCTGCTTCATGTGGAGCCGCACGTAATTACCTGTGACCCGGGCAGCGGGCCTAGGAGGGACACACAGGTGGGCATTGCATGGGCAATGGTGGCCAGGGGCCCTCCCTGCCAGCTTTACCCATGCAGCCTGTGCTGGGAGGCTGAACTGTGGCACCTGGGGTTTGTGGGATCTCGGGGGACCCATGTCTCCTTGTGCCCTGCATGTCTCCTTGTGCCCTGCGAGGATTCCATTTGTCCACTGTCCTGCGGGACCTGCATGGGGCTCCCCTCAGCTGCTCTGCTCCAACGCCGCTTCTTGCCTCGGCTGCTGCCAGGATGGGGAACCTCCGTGCTGACCAAGCTAACCTGTGGGGTGGCAAGCTCTGGGCCCTGTAGGGGCGTCTCGGGGCCAGTGTTCTGTGGGGTGGCAAGCTCTGGGTCCTGTAGGGGCGCCTCGGGGCCAGTGTTCTGTGGGGTGGCAAGCTCTGGGCTCTGCAGGTGCACCTCGGGGCCAGTGCCGGGACAGAGGCCAGATGAAACTGTGGCGGTCAGGGACTGGGGCTTCTGCGCAGGCAAGCCAGACGGGAGGGTCTCGCCTTGACATCGCTCCAGCCAGCCTGGGTCCAGGGAGCTCAGCCGCAGGCTCAGGGACGCCCGCAGCTGCTGGAGCCGGCCGGGCCTCAGCTGGGGACCTGGGGGCTGGGTGAGCGCCTGGCTGGCTTCCTCTGGAGAGTCGGGGGCTGCCTCTGTCCCTGGTGGCCCTGGGGAGGGCTTCTTGGATGCGATTCTCCTCAGAGGCCGGTGTAGATGGCTCCGGCTTTTCCCAACCTGAGAAACGGAGATAAAACTAAGAAGCAGAAATCAGGTGTTCAGACAGCTACAATAGCTAAGTCTGCCCAAGTCCACACACCGAAGGTCAGCAAGAGCAAGCCCGTTACACCTACGTGTGCAGGAAACAGGAAAGGGGCTAACCTTGACCTCTACCTGCAAGTTGCCCTTTAAGTTGGCCTTAAGCCTCTCTCCGTAGTCCAGCTGGGCCCCCAGGGTGCTCAGCCCTGGCGAGGGCGGGGTAACCCGGGCCGCAGCCCTGTTCAGGTGGGGCCCCCAGCAGCTGGGCTCTGGCACCTGCTGGAGAGAAGGGGTGTGGGTGCAATGGGGGTGGGTGGGGGGTGCAGAGGTGTCTCCAGCTCCCCCCCAAGGTCCCCGCCAGGAGAGGGGGCCTGGCCCTCGTTCTCCACGAGGTAGGCCTCCCCCTATGCCGCGCGCCCCCTCCAGCACCCGGCACCTCTGGACCGCGCCCCGCACAAAGCCGGCCGCCAGGCTGCGGCGGCGGGTCCGGAACGTCCTCTGCCGCCGCGGGAAGCGCCTGCTGGGGGTCGCCGCCGCCGGCCTGGCCCCGGGCCTCCTTCAGGGCGCGGTACTCCCGGTAGAGCGCTGGGGGCGAGGGCAGGGGCGAGGTCAGGGGTCGCAGTCGGGGCCCGAGGCCCCGGCGCCCCCGGCCCCCAGCTTACCGCGGGTCTCCTCGCACGCCGCCTCCACGTCCGCCTGCGAAGGGAGGCGTGAGCCCCGCGGCCGGCCCGCCCGCGCCCGCGCCCGCCCCCGCGCCCGCCCGGCCGGCGCCCGCACCCGTCCCGGCCGGCGCCCGCGCCGCCGCCCGAAGTCGAGCTCCCAGGCCCGCAGGCGCGCCCGCACGGCCCGCAGCCGCTCCATGCTTCCGCGCGAGTCTCCCGCCACGGGCGCCGCCGCCGCCGCCGGCCAATGGGAGCGCGCGGCGGGGCGGGGCGGGGCGGGGCGCGCGGCGGCGCAGCCAATCCGCAGGGCCTCGGCCCGGCGGCCAATGGGTGGCGGCCGCGTCATCGCGGCGCGCGGCGGCGGGGGCGGCGCCGCGGACCGCGAGGTGGGGCCGGCGGCGGTGGCGGCGGGCGGCCGGTGAGCGCGCCGGGGCGGGCGGCGGCGGCGGGTCCCGCGGGCGGGGGGCCGGGAGGCGGCGGCGCGCTCTGGCCGCGGCCGGGGCCCCTCCCCCGCTGGCCGCACGCTGCGCCCTTTCCTCTCGCCACGGCGGCCGCGCGCCCCGCCGGTCTCGGCGAGTCCGCGCCGGGGGAGGCCGCGGGTGGCCCGGGCCGGCGCTGGGCTCCTGGGGCGCAGGCCCGCCGGCCGCGACCTGGGTGGGGGCCGGGCGCGCGGCGGGGGGCGACGAGGCCTGGCCGCGGCGAGCCGGGCGAGCCGCCGCCGCAGCCGCCGGCCGGGGTCTGGACCCGCGCAGGGGCTGCGCGGAGGCGGCTCCTCCGCCGGCGGCCTGGCCGTGGCTCTGGACCGTAGAAGCCGGACTCACGCCCCGGGCTCGGGCTCCCCAGGCCGTCTGGCCGGCGCTGGCGCTCCTCGGGGGCCGCCGTACTTCCGCGTGCCCCGCTGTGCGGCCCGGGGCCTCTGGCCGGCCGCGGAGGGGAGGGACCTGCGCGCGCGAGCGAGCCCGAGGCTTGCCTGCGGGGGCGGTGCCGGGCGTGTTGTGCTCAGGGAGGGGAGGGTTCCTGCTCTGGGGAGCCTGCGGGTCCGCGGAACGCTCGATGGAGCTCTAAGGGCGCTCGTCTGGGGGCGCCTGTCCCCCTTTCCGATCTGCCCGTCACTGGGCACCCAGCAGTAGCTCGCGGGCCGGCGGTCTCCCACTGAGCGCCAGCTGGGTGGTGGGGGGGGCCTGGGCTTCTTGCCAGGCCTCATGCTGGTCTTTTCCACACTGGTATGTGGAGGGGCCGGGCCGGGTGGTGGTCCAGGTTCTGCCCTCCCCACTGAAGGCCCCTTCCATGCAGGCGGCACCCGCCGGGCCCAGCGCCATGCACACGCTTGTGTTCCTGAGCACGCGGCAGGTGCTCCAGTGCCAACCTACTGCCTGCCAGGCCTTGCCCCTGCTGCCGAGGGAGCTCTTTCCCCTGCTGTTCAAGGTGGCTTTCATGGACAAGAAGACGGTCGTGCTCCGGGAGCTGGTGCACAAGTGGCCCTTCCCACTGCTCAGCTTCCAGCAGTTGCTGCAGGAGTGTGCCCACTGCAGCCGGGCGCTGCTGCAGGAGCGGCCCAGCACGGAGAGCATGCAGGCGGTGATCCTGGGGCTGACTGCACGGCTCCACACCCCGGGGGCCGAGGCCAGCGAGCAGCCCCTCTGCAGGTATGGGCCGCCCTGGGGGGCCGCCGGCGGGGTGGGGGTCAGAGAGGGCTCCGGGAACTCCCAGACAGCACAGGAGCTTCATGTGTAGGGCAGGTGAGCCTGTCCTAGGCAGCTGGGCGTGGTGTGGATTCCACCACCTGGCCCCCCACCTCAGACCACCCCTGCCCCCAGGAAGCACACACTGCGGGTGCTGGACATGACGGGCCTCCTGGACGACGGCGTGGAGCAGGATCCGGGCACCATGAGCATGTGGGACTGCACAGCAGCGGTGGCCCGCACCTGCATTGCCCAGCAGCAGGGGGGCCCGGTGGGGCCTGGGCCAGCCCCGGTGCCCGTGGAGGTGCGGGTGGACCTGCGGGTGAACCGGGCCTCCTATGCGTTCCTGCGAGAGGCGCTGCGCAGCAGTGTGGGCAGCCCCCTGCGACTCTGCTGCCGGGACCTGCGGGCCGAGGACCTGCCCATGCGCAACACGGTGGCTCTGCTGCAGCTGTTGGACGCTGGCTGCCTACGCCGTGTGGACCTGCGCTTCAACAACCTGGGTCTGCGGGGCCTGTCAGTCATCATCCCGCACGTGGCCCGCTTCCAGCGCTTGGCCAGCCTACGCCTGCACTATGTGCACGGGGATTCGCGGCAACCCTCGGTGGATGGGGAGGACAACTTCCGCTACTTCCTGGCCCAGATGGGCCGCTTTGCTGGCCTGCGGGAGCTCAGCATGGGCTCCTCCCTCCTGTCGGGGCGGCTGGACCAGCTGCTCAGGTGAGTGGACCCGCTGCTGACCCTCTCTTGCGCCCCCCCACCCCTGTGCTTGCCTGTGATTTCTGTCCTCTGCAGCACCCTTCAGAGCCCCCTGGAGAGCCTGGAGCTGGCCTTCTGTGCTCTGCTGCCTGAGGACCTGCGGTTTCTGGCCCGAAGCTCCCATGCCGCCCATCTCAAGAAGTTGGACCTGAGTGGCAATGACTTGTCTGGTGGCCAGCTGGAGCCTTTCCGGGGTCTGCTGCAGGCGGCTGCCACCACGCTGCTACACCTGGAGCTGACTGAGTGCCAGCTCGCCGACTCGCACCTGCTGGCCGCCCTCCCCGTGCTGACCCGCTGTGCACGCCTCCGCTACCTCGGCCTCTACGGCAACCCGCTGTCCACGGCGGGGCTCAAGGAGCTCCTGCGGGACTCGGCGGCGCAGGCTGAGCTGCGCACGGTGGTGCACCCCTTCCCTGTGGATTGCTATGAGGGCCTGCCCTGGCCACCGCCCGCCTCCGTCTTGCTGGAGGCTTCCATCAATGAGGAGAAATTCGCCCGGGTAGAGGCCGAGCTGCACCAGCTACTGTTGGCCTCTGGCCGTGCCCATGTGCTCTGGACCACGGACATCTACGGGCGCTTGGCTGCAGACTACTTCAGCCTGTGACCGGCTCTGGGGGAACTCCTGGGGCCGGGCGGCAGAGCCTTCCCTGCTGGAGGCTGGTGCCGGACACAAAAGCGTGGGTCTCCGGCCTCCTCGCCTCGCACTGCTTTCTGCTGCGGTCCCTGCACCGCAGCTGCTGAGGCTGGACGCCTGCCCTCTGCTGACCTTGGGCCAGCCCCTTGGTGCGTGGTTTGGGCTCTGGTTGTGAGCTGGGAGGGTGTTGTGGGGAACTCCCCAGAGCCGACTGCTCTGGGGCTGAGTTGGGGCCGCCTCCAGGAGGCCTGGGCCCACTGCACTGCGCCCAGCTCCTCTTATCCTTGTCCTGGCACTTAGGGCCCTGTTTGGGGGCAGAGTATGATTAAGGAACAGAAGTGAAGTGTGTCTGGAACTTGAATTTGCGGTTGCTTATTCTGCCTTAATCCTGCAGAGCCGACGTGTTCCCCCCCACGGGGCCACCCTGGCATCCTGCCAGCAGTCTTGGGGTGCCCCGGCAGGGCTGGAGGTCGGGGCAACTCAAGTGGCTTTTTTTGCGGGGCTGCAGCGGCCCCGGGCCCCTCCAGACCTGCCCGTGGCTGTGTTGGGGGGTCCGCGCCCAGCCCACTGGCGCCCTCCCCGCCCCACACACGGTTCGCCCACGCTGGCAGCTTCCACCCTTTACTGACCGAGCCGCCCCTCTGTGGGCACACGCCCGCGTCCCCGCCCTCCCTCAGCAGTGGATCTCGTAGGCGGCGTGCGGCGGCTGGAGCCCCTGCGCCTCGGCAGCGCCCCCGAAGAGCGGCTTGGAGCGGTCGATGACGAACATCTCGTGGCCGCGCTCGCCGCGGAGCTCCTCCAGCTGCGCAAAGCTGCAGGGCCCATCCGAGTAGTCGTTGACGAACAGCGCGCCCTCCCCGGGCGGCCCCGGCACCTTTTTCCGCCGGCGACGTCGCCGGCAGATCATGGCCGCCAGCAGCAGCGCCGTGAGCGCCAGGAGCGCGATGGCCGCGGCGATGGCGGTCTGCGTGGCCAGGCCCAGGGCGCGGAAGGCCATGCTGCCCGCCTCGGGCAGTGGCGCGTGGCTGACGGGGCCGGTGGCAGGGGGTGGTGGGAGCGGCGGCAGCCGGGACAGGTTCACCAGGAGCTGGAAGGGGGCGCGCGCGGCACCGCCTGCATTTGAGGCCTCGCACTCGTACCTGCCGGCGTGGGCCAGGGTGACATTGCTGAGGAACAGCATGCCGCTGCCCGTGTCAGGGGCGCCCTGCCCGCTGGGGCCCGGGGCCCTGCCCGCTGGCGAGACTGGCGCCCTCCGCGGTCCCTCGTGAGGCCGGGCCACCTTCCTCCAGGTTACCAGGGGCTGCGGGTAGCCAGATGCCTGGCAGGCCACCCGCAGGTCCTCCCCCGGGCGGACGGTCATCTCCAGCGGCTCCACGTGCACGGAGGGTGGGATGCAGATGAGGCTGCTGGCCGGCACGTCCAGGAGGCTCTGGCGCGCCAGGCGAGGAGGCTCGGCACACATGATTTTCTTGTCCCTGGAGCTGAGCAGCCGCTGGCCACCTGCCCTGACCCAGGCTCCCAGCCAGTTCAGGGCGCAGTCGCAGCGCCAGGGGTTCTCTGCAGGGCGGGGGGTGTGTGTGTGGGTTCTCTTGACCCCAGCGAGAGCCTCGGTGTTAGTCTCATTTTTCAGCTTTCTCCTGCCTGTCCCCACAGTGGGCAAACCCTCAGCTCTGTCCTGTCAGGGACTCACCTTTTCTGTCAGCGAGAGCCCAGAGTTGGGCTCCCACTGGAGCCCTGTCTTTAGCAGACTTACAATGGCTGCAGGGGTGGCCCTCTGGAGGCAGAGCTGGCAGCTCAGCACCACTGTCCCCCCCACCGCCCCCTCCCCCCCACACACACACACCAGGGCCTGCTCCCTCCCTGGCCCGGCCCCCAGAGACAGGTACCTGTGAGGCGCAGGACCTGCAGGCTGGCCAGGGGCTGCAAGGCCTCGAGGCTGATGGTGCCCAGCTGGTTGCCACTGAGGTCCAGCAGCGCCAGCGAGGAGAGCCCGGCTAGTGCCTGGTCCTCCAGCAGCTCAATGCTGTTTTCCTGCAGGTGCAGCTCTTGCAGTCGCTGAAGTGGGACAGGCGGTCAGGGGTTTCTGGTCCCCGGGCAGGTCCCCTTGCCTAGGGTTAGACTGCCTGGCGCAGGGGAGGACCCCGCCCTCTTCCACCCCCTTCTCACCGGCAGGTGCAGGAAGGTGAAATCCAGCAGCCGCACCAGCTGGTTCCCAGCCAGGTAGAGCACGCGCAGCTGGGCCAGGCCTGCGAAGGCACCGGCGCGCAGGCCCCGCAGCCGGTTCCCCGTGAGCGCCAGCTCCTGCAGGCGGGGCTGCGCGCGGAAGGTGCCTGGCTCCAGGGCGCGCAGGCTGTTGTTGTGCAAGTAGAGCCGGCGCAGGGCGGCCAGCGGGGCCAGGACGCCCGGTTCCAGGCGCGCGATGCTGTTGTCCTGCAGGAACAGCGTCTGCGGGAGGGCGGGCGTTCGTGGCGGGAGGGAGTCTGCCCTCCCCAGTGCCACGCTGCCCACCCGGGCTCGCGCACCCCTCCAGCCGCGCCCACGGTGCCCACCTGCGTCCCGGGCGGGATCCCAGGAGGCACGGCGCGCAGCTGCAGGGCGCCGCACTCCACTGCAGCGCTGTAGCAGCGGCAGGCAGCCGGGCAGCCAGCGGCGCAGGGCGGGGGTCCAGGCAGGGACAGCAGCAGCGGCAGCAGCAGCAGCGCAGACGCCCCTGGGGCCATCTCCTGCGGCCGGCCTGCAGTCGCCAACCCGATGCGCCCCCTGGAACACAGGCTGCCGGGCGTGGCCCTGATACCTGGGGCCAGCAGGAGCCTGGAGGGGTCCCACGGGTCTGAGTTCTGTTCAAGGAACTAATAAAACTTCCCAGTTTTCTGTCTTTACAAAAACACTCCTATTAAAATCTGGGGCATCAGGTTCCATTATAGGACTACTGATGTCCAGAGTCCCACAGCAGGCTCTGTGGGGATAGCCCACCCCACCTGCACAGCGCCAGGGCCATCCTGCTCAGCGGGGAGTGGGCACGTGGCCTCTGCATGTAGGGTGCCAGCTATGGGCTTGGGGTCGTGGGCAGGGAGGGCCTGGGCCCCGGGGGTCACGCATGGTCCTAGAGGGAAGAGCAGGCTCTGGGCAGACACAGCCCAGTCCACCCCCTGCTGCTCCACCGGACCTTAGGAGACACAGATGGGGCCAAGTGCCCCATGCTCCCAGCACAAGGCCAGAGGCTCCTCCATCTGGCCTCAACCCAGTCACCGCTAGTTCTCTGTCCCTGGAGCCCACGCTCTCCCCGCCCTGGGGTATGCCGGTTGTGGCGTGATGGCGGACATGGACAGCGGATGCCTGACAGAGGACAATCAATGTGACTTTGCAGCCCTGCCCTGCTGGACTGGTGGTGCGTGGACAGCTCAGCTGGGCTGGGCTCGCTCAGGACACGTATTAGAGCATTGGGGACCAGACCACAGAAGGGCCCGGAAACCATGGCCCGTGTTCTCCGTGCCAGCTCCCAGAAAGGTGTCTTCAGGGGCAACTGCGGCCTTGAAATGATGGGGGCTTTGGGCCACAGCTGGGCTTCTCATGTGGTTTCCCAAGGGGGCTCTGGGGGCAGTGGCCCCTGGGTGCAGGGAGTGATCTGTAACGGGCTTACGCAAATGCAGCTGCGATCTCAGAGAGATGGAAGCCTGGGCCCTGATCCAAACAGTGGTCTGTGGACCTGCGCCGAGACACCAGGCGTGCTGGAGTGGGTGTGGGTCCCCAGCCCCACGATGCCCCCTCTGCTCGCCAGTCTCCCTGGCAGTGGGCGGGAGTCTGTGGGAAAGGGTTTGTCTCAATGGTGCTCTAAGCTGTAACTCGCACGCTGACGTAAAGCCATAGAGATGAGCCGGGTACAGCACAAGCTTTAATGCAACAGCTTTGGCCCAAGCAGGGCCAGTTCCCAGATGTCTCAGGGTGTGTGACCTCTCCCCACCCCCGGAAGCTGGGGTGTCCTCTGGGCCCTGGGATCCAGTTCCCTGAGTACAAAGGATTGCCCAGAGCTGGCCCACCCAGCCTCCGGCAGCAAGGCCTCTGGAGTAGAGAAGGCCCCCGGTCCTCTGGTCAGGACTTGGAGCACTGCTGAGCAGGGGACACCCCTAGAAGCAGAGTCCTGGACAAGGGCAGGCTGGGCAGGGAGGGGTCCAGACTGCACAGCAGGAGAGAGGCCGGAAATCCCTTCACCCGGCAGACAACCCCCAATCCTGCTGGGCAGGGGGCGGGGCGTCACACAGAGGATTCAGCAATGGCTGTAAAGAGGTGGGGGAGGGGGGACAGGAGCATGTTGGAGAGAGGGAGGAAGCCTTGCCCAGCCCACCACCTTCCTGGCGCGGTGAGAGACCCAGCGTGTCTACATTCCCCAGGGCATCCCCCGAAGCCCCCTCCAGCGCCGGCCTGTCCCGAGTCGGCTCGGGGCAGGGGGCGGGCCCCGCTGGAGACGAGCTCGGACAGCCCCGAACCCGCCCCCGCTCCCGCTGACCTTGGGTCGGCGCCCTCTCACCTGACGCTCCCGCGGCGCGGGTCCCCGCCGAGCACCCCGGGGCCCTCCGAGCCGCGCCTGGCTGCGGGGGGCGGGGGGCGGGCGCACGCGCACAGGAGCCCTGCGCCGTGCGGGCCGGCCGCGGCGAGCGCGCGCCCAGCCGGAGGTGGCCCCAGCCCGGGGTGTGGGGGTGGGACGGGCCCGCGCCCCCGCCCTCCGGGCCGAGCGGCCCGCGCCGCGGCAGCACCTCGGACAGCGCCGGGCGGGGCGGGGCGGGGGCCGCGGGGCGCCTCCGCCGCGCACGCGCACTCCGGGGCGCTCTCCGCCGCGCGTGCGCAGCGGCGCGGCGGGCTCAGGGCGGCGGGGCCGCGCGCAGCAGCGGGGCCAGGTCCATGGTGAGCGCGAGGCGGCGGCCGCGCCAGCGCACGTGCGAGGGCAGCGCGGGCGCGCCGGGGGCGAACTCGAAGCAGGCGCTGAGCTCGAGGGCCAGGGCGGAGCGCACCAGGCCCACGCCGCCCGCGCGCCCCGGCGCCGGGTGGTACAGGCGCCCGCTGGCCGCCAGGGGCAGCAGGCGCGCGGGCTCGAAGGGCACGGCCAGGGCCGCGCCGCCGCCGCAGTAGGAGAGGCGCGGGGCCCCGGGGCCCGCGGGCAGCAGGTGCGTGAAGACCACGGGCCGGTCCTCGCAGCGCAGGAAGTTGCGCTCCGCGCCGCAGGGCGAGAGGAAGGGGAAGGCGGCCTCGTAGCGCCCGCTGCGGTTGGGCCTCAGGCGGGAGAAGAAGGCGACCAGGAACTGCGGGTCTGCGGGGGGCGCGCGGCTCAGCCCCCGCCGCCCGCCCCGCCCGCCCGCCCGCGCGCGGGCCCCGCCGCCCGGGGCCCGAGGTCGCCCGGGGCGCGCGGGCGTCTGCCGGGGCGCGCGGGGCGGGAGGGCCCCGCGGTACCTTTGAAGCAGGTGACGAAGTTCTTCATTTTGGCGTCATCCAGGAAAAGCTGCGGAGAGACGGGCAGGCCGCGGCCCCGGCCCGGTGTCAGCCGGCGGCGGCCCCAGCCCGGGCGCGCCGCGACCTTGTCCGCCCCGCCCGCGCCCCTGGCGGCCCGGCCCGGCCCGGCCCGGCCCGGCCCGGCCCGGCCCGGCCCGGCGCCCGCTCCCCGCTCCCGCCGGGCCCTCAGGAGCCAGCCCCGCCCGCGCCGGGCCCCGACCCGCGCCCTCCCGGGCGGGCCAAGCCGGCGGGGCGGGGTCTGGGGGGGCGCCGGGAGCCCGCGGCGAATCCCCGGCCGGGGCCGCCCCGCCCGCGCGCCCACCTGGCCCTGGTGGTCCACGTAGTAGAAGTACTCGCGCGTGCGCGGCGAGGGGCGCTGGCCCTGCGTGTAGGCGGCGCCCGCGCCCGCGCTGCGGGCCCGCGCCCCCGGGGCCCCCGCCGAGGCCCAGGCCCGGAGCGCCCCGCGCGGCCGCCACATCCTCCCGCCGCGCCGGAAGCGCCGCGGGTCACGCGGGCCCCGGCGGCCGCGCGCTTCGGTTCCGGCCCCCGCGCCCCGGCCCGGCCCGCCCCCGCCGAGCGCGCAGCGACGGCAGCGACCACGCGCGAGTGTCCACAGCACTTTATTCACAGCAGGTCACCTCGAAGTCCATGCGTCAGGGCGAGTCGGCCGCCGGGCGCCCGCCGGGCCCCCCCCGGCCTCGGCGGGCGCGGCTCCTTGCCTTTAATAAATAAAAACTCAACTCTAAAAAATATATAATATATATATATAAACTGGGGAGAAATTAAATTTTACAACAATTGGAACGCAGACGTCCAAGGTGGAGGATGGGCCGCGCGCGGGCCCCGCCGGCCGCGCCCTCGACGGGGCGGGGAGGGGGGGCGGGTGTTTTTGGTCAGAAGCCAGGAAAGGGCGGAGGAAACGAGGGGTGACGTCGCCGCTGTGCGCGGGGCCCCGCGAGGATGGCTCAGAGAGGAAAACTGCCTTCGGGTCAAAACCCTGTCACTAGCAACTCAGCCCCGCCGCCCGCCCCGTCCGCGCACCTGCACACGCGGGGACTCGCGCCCGCCGGCCCCGGCCCGGCCCGGCCCCCGGCCCCCGGCCCCCGGCCGGCCCGCCCCGCCGCGCTCTCCCCGCGCCGCGCGCGGCCGCTGGACGAGGCGGGCGGGGCGGGCCGGGAGGGCCTGTCGCCCGCGCCGGGAAACGAAGGCACTTGCTCGGGGCCGGCGCGGCGCCCACGGGAACTGGCCACGGGGCGGGGCCCAGGCGCGGCCGCTCCTCGGCCGGCGGGGGCCGGGCCGGGCCGCTGCCTCCGCGCGCCGGCGCCCTCCCCGCCGGGGCTAGAGCACGCCCTCCATGAAGCCGGTGTCCAGGTGCTGGATGAGCACGCGCAGGAAGGACATCTCCTTGCGCGTGTTCTCGAAGATGACGCGCGGGTCGTCCGACCGGCAGCGCAGGCAGTTGGGCGCCATCACCATGGCCAGGTTGCTGACGTCCATCTTGGTGATGGCCACGTTGGCGGGCTGCACGAACACCTGCGAGGGGGCGGCGCAGGTGGGCCCGGGCTCGGCGGGGCCCGCGCGGGGGGCGGGGCGGGGGCGGGGCCGGGCGGCGGGCGGGGCGGGGCCCGCGCGGGGGCGGGGCCGGGCGGCAGGCGGGGCGGGGCCGGGGGCGGGGCCAGGCCGCGCACCTGGAGGAAGCGGATGAGGTAGCACAGCACCAGACGGTTGATGCGCGGCAGCGCGTGCACCACGGCCACGGCGGCCTCGGGGCTCTCGTAGTGCGCGATGCACTGATCGTAGAACTCGTGCGGGATCAGGGGCTCCTCCAGCTCCCGGTACCACAGCTTCAGCAGCGACGCTGCGGACACAGCGGGCGGCTCAGTGGGTCCTGGCCGACGGGGGGCCGCAGCCCCTCACGTGTGTGTGTGGGTGGGGGGGGGCAGGGCAGAGTGGAAAGGATGCATTGGCCGCGGTGGCCGGCACAGAAGGGTGATCCTGTGACCAGCAAAACGCTTATCCCAGCGAGGGCCGTGTGGCAGTGGGGGAGGCAAGGCCTGCTGCCCAGGGCTGGGGGCTCACCTGGCACATGGGGGTCCTCCAGCCCCGTGGGCACCTTCCACTGATCCACCTGTAGCTTCAGGGCATTCACCTCGTCAATGTCCCCAGGGACCCTGCAGGACACAGGTGGGATCTCAGGAGAGGGCTTGGCGCCCAGGGGTCAGGGGCCTGGCCACTGGACTGGTCTTTCCCATGAGGGAGGAAGGTGGGGCCCAGTCCCTGTCCCATGGAGCCAGACCCCTGCCCCTGCCCCTCTGCTGGCTGCCCCCATCCAAATGCCCTCCTCTGCAGGGCCCTGAGGCCAAGACCACGAGCCTCAGCTCCCCCAGTAGTTCTGGTCCTGGGCCCCCAAGGGCCACTCGCCAGGGGCAGGGTCCCAAGAACAGTTTGTGGGGCTGCTGCAGGGTCACCTCAGACTCTGCCTGTGGTGGCTGTCCTGGTGCCACTGGGCCCCTGGTGCCCCTTCTGCAGGGACATGAGTCCTGGCCAGCCCTCCAGCCTGCTCTGGGCTGCTGCTGTGTGGGGCCAGCCTCATTGCTGCACAGCAGCTCCCCGGTCAGGCCCTGGGGAGCTCCTGGCTGCTGCGCACATCTGGGCCTGCCCTGGGTCCCCGAAGTAGGCTGCTGGGCACCTGAAGATGCCTTCCGTCTGATCGCCGTTGAGTGCCAGCACCTCCTCGGACAGCCGAGTCTGCACCCACGGCAGCTGCCGGTCGGGGTAGCGCTCCTTCTGCATGCTCATGACCTCCTGCAGCCCACTGCCGAACATGGAGGGGCTGAACACTGCGTTCTTGGCGTGCCGGATCTCCTCCACGTTAGGCTTCTTCAGGCCCTGCAAAGACGCTGGCTGTCCTGGCGCGGCCGCCTGCCCACCCTGGCCGCTCCTGTCTCCAGAATTCCCCCCAGGCCGCTCCTGTCCCCAAACTACCCCCCCCCCCGCCCCCGCCAGGCCGCTCCTGCCCCTGCCTACCCACCCAGGGCCACTCCTGCCCCCCTAGGCAGCTCCTGGTTGGGCCTCTGCCTTTTGTCCTCTTGTCCTGTGAGGACCAGGCTTTTCCTGGCTGAGCCTGGGCCCCCAGCTGCTTGGTCAGGTGGGAGGTAGATCGCCAGACAGCTCAGTCTGGGAGCTATGTGTGGCCACAGTAGGATCAGGCGGGCAGAGCTGGGTGGCGTGAGACCCAGGGAGAGCCTGGAGAAGGTGGCTGCAGCAGGCAGTTGGGAGAAAGCGGGGTGGGGGGGTGGTGGTCTGGCTCAGGGAGGTGGGAGGCGCTGCATCCTGGGGTCCAGTGCAGGAGGGCCGGCCTCCGTGCGGGCCTGGGTGGAGGGTGCTGCGGGAGTGAGGAGGGCCTGGGGACTGCAGGGGAGAGTGGCCCAGGCAGCAAGCCAGGGAGGCTGAGGCTCCAGGGCCAGGTGTGTAGGCCCCCTGGAGGCCTGAGGGGTGGGTCAGGGCTCGGCGCTGGGGCCCGTGCAGGGCCGTGGGTGCAGGAAAGCTGGGGGCCTCCCTGGGCCGACTGAGCCTGGTGCCTCTGCCCTGGCTGGCTCTAGCCTACATCGTCCACGGGCTGGGCCCACCTGGTCAGCGTGCGGGGGCAGCTCGTACCTTCTTGGCCCCGGTCAGGGCCGCCTTCTGCAGCTTGTGGTAACAGTACTTGGCATACGTGCTTATCGCCACCCCTGGAAGAGAAGGCAGCGGTCAGCGGGCGGGGGCTGGCCAGTGAGGCTGAGCAGCAGGGCAGCAGCAGCAGGTCCTGCCTGGGCATCCTGTGGGCCCAGCTAGGCCCCTGCACCTGCCCCCTTGCCCAGGTCAGAAGCTCCAGGGAGGGGGTAAGCCCCTCCCCTGCAGGGAAGCCAGGTGGGGAAGGGCCCCTCCCTGTCCACTCTGCCCTCTTCATGACACACGGCTAGGAGGGACAGCCCAGGGTCTGGCCCCAGAGCCAAGGAACCCAGGCTCCCTCCCCAGCTGGCCCCAGGAGGCTCTGAGAAGGGTCACTTGTGCCGTGGGTCAGCTGGGGGAAGGAGTGTGACTGTGAAGCAGGCCCAGTCCTGCCCAGGGGTAACCCTCAGTCCAGGGGAGGTCTCAGGGTCAGGGCTGCCTGGGCGAGGGTCAGGGAGAGGGTGGTCCCGCCTGGTCCGCGGTGGAAGGGGCGTCCAGCAGCCACTCCTCATCGCTGCGATGCTGTGGGGACCGTCTCCACTGCCCCAAAGGGTTGAAGAGCGCAGGCAAAGGGGGTGAAGTCTCTTTTCTCTTTTCCTCAACCCCCAGGCCTGAGCGGCTCTAGCTGGTGGTCATGGGGAGATGGCCTGCTAAGCACTGGGCTCAGGGACTGGCCAGGGCCTCCAGACACGGGGCGGGGGCAGGGTGAGCGCACAGTGGCCTGTGGCCCCGAGGCCTCAGTCTGTCTTCTCTGGGCTTCCGCAGGCCGGCGGCCCGTGTGGGGACACCCGTCCTGGTCCCGGAGACCTGGGGCAGCTGTGCCCCCTTGCGGCGGGGCCGGGGGGGCTCTTTCTAGTGAACCAGTGGGTGTTAAATCCTGGGGATCAGCCTTGGTCCCCGCGGCTGGACCCCACCCGGGTCAGGTGGGCAGAAAGGACGGTGCTTAGGGTAACGGGGCTGAGCTCCCCAGGGCAGCCCGAAGCATCCTGGGGCTCCCTGGGGCCTGCCCCTCCACAGCCCCACGCCCAGCTGGGTCAGCGCACAGCCTGTGCGGGCTGCAGCCCCACCTCAGCAGGACGGGGGTGGCTGGTCTCACGGTGCCCACCACGCTGGCCGGGGCGGGGGGAGGGCGGCACATGCAGCTGCCTGGGTCACAGCCTTGGGCCACTCTGCCAGCTGCCCAGGGAGGCCTCTAGGGGGCATGGGCTGCCCCTCATGCTCACCCTGCCCATTCCGACCGGCACCACCGGCCACCTGCTGGCTCACTGGGCAGCCCCTCCACCCTGCTGGTCACCGCCCCTTCTGCCAGGCCAGGGGCAGGCTGAGCTCCCAGAGGGCATGGCCAGGGCCCTGGTGCCAGGAGGGGCTAAGCGCCAGGGGTACGTGCCCGGGAGCCAGGAGGGTGGCGGGGGAGGGGCAGCACCCATGGGGGCTTTCTGCCTCTGAAGACCCGGCCAGGCTGGGGTGGGGACACCCCCTACCAAGGTGAGCCTCCACTGAGGGCCCGCCCATCCCCCAAGACCCCCGCAGGCAGACCAAGGACCGAGGTCTGCGGAGAAGGTGGGGCAGGCGCCCCTGGCGAGCCCGAGGTTAGTGCCCGCCCGCCCGCCAGCCCAGAAGCAGTTAGAGAGGAGGCCGGAGAGCAGAGCTGGCGGGCGGGTGGCCGCGGGCCCTACCATCGGGCTCCTCAACATAGGGCTTGGGTTTCTTTCTCAACTTGGCCTTCTTCTTAGCGTTCCGCTCCAGGAGCTCCCGCACGTGCTGCGCCACTGGGGAGCAAACAGAGCCGTGAGCGGCTGCCCGCGGCCAGCTACTGCCGGGCGCCCCCCCCCCCCAGCTCCGAGCGGCCGGCCGGGAGCTGCCCCAGCCCTTCCAGCCTCCCCCTGCCCGCCCATCTGTTCATTCTCATAACCGTCTTTTGAAGGAAGAGCGGGTTTAATGTCCATGCGCGATTTGCCCGTCTAGGGTGGTTGTGGAGGAAAAGCTGCTCCGGGCCTCCTGCTGCCGGCTCACAGCCTGGGCCCTCGGTGACCAGCTGTGCACTCTGAGCTACTTCTGCAGCTGTGTGAGGCCGGCACCCGCCTCAGGCCACCCAGCCGCCCCTCTGTGCACTGGTGGCAGTGCCCGCCCCTGCCCACTGCCCAGCTCCGCTCTTCTGCAAAGGGCTGTTCCAGGTCCTTCTGAGTTGTAGGAGCAGCTTGTGAATTTCCGAAAATATGGGTGACCGAGGCTTGCCGAGGGCCGGCTCGCGTGGCCAGTCTGGACGTCTGCTGCAGGCACACAGCACCTCAAACTCACGCCCACGCACCGACCCCAGGCAAGGTTTTCACCAAGAACCCGCATGGTCCCTGTTTGTCGTACTTTTGAAGCTACTGGGATGATATTTTTAACATGTCTAGGTCCGACAGCTTGTTGCTGAAGTACGGGACGCGGCTGGCCCTTCCCTCCAGGATATTATGGGGGAGGCTGTGCCCAGCAGGCCCCCTAGCAGGTGGGTGGGTAACAGGGAGGCTGGGGCCCCACATTGCTCCTGATCTGGGGGGACAGGTGGCACTGGCTAGAGACCACAAAGTGTGGCCACCCAGTCATTTTCCAGTGTACAGGTAATGGCTCAAAGGCATTTGCCATAGGGGCTTCCTCCGACAAGCTGCCCATGGACCAGCACCCCTGCCACCTGCCCGGCTGCTCTGCCCAGCCCTCGCCAGCTCCCAACCTGGCTCCCGCCCGTCTGGTGACTCCCCGTCCTGGCTCTCGCTGTAAACTCCCCGGTGGCGGCGGCTCGCTAGGGCTCGCCCACACCAGGTGCACCCGCAGTTCCATCCGCAGGTGTGTCCTGTCCCCCGGCGTGTCCTGTCTGCCGAGTGCCCGCCCGGCTGCGGCAGGCTGGGCGTCCCCGCCAGCCCCAGTGTCCAGCTCTGGGCACTGCTCCTCTGCGCACGGCTCTCACCAGGCTGCAGTGGTGGCCTGCTCCCCTCGCAGCTCTGTCAGGAGCGGACGGTGGCCCTTGCCAAGGCTTCCTGTGCGTCCTGGAGGGCCCTACGGTGTGGCTGCTGTTGTCATGCTGCTGCGGCAGACGGCGCCGACTCCCCCCTGGATGGCCACCAGCCTCCTGCCCTGGGATGGCCCTTATGCAAGACACGCTGCCTTTATGCCTCCGGGTTCAACCTGCTGACCGTGTTGTCTCTGCTGTGTTCACGAGAGAGATGCTCCTGGCTTCCCTTTGGTGACATCCTCTTCTGACTGTGACATCAAAACACTTGGGGCAGGCCCTCGGCTTCAGTTTTCTGGGTCAGTCTGTGTAGGACTGCTGTGTAAATGAACGTTCGCTAGAATTCAGGGGAGAAAAAGTGATTTGAGTCTGGAATTTCCTTTGTGGGAAGATTTTTAAGCACCAATTCAGTTTCTGTAACATACGATTTTTCTACTTCTCAGTGAATGTTGGAAGTTTGTGTTTCTCAAAGCATTTGTCCATTTCCTCTAAATCATCAAATTTGTTGACGTTTTCATAGTATTTCCTTATTGCCCTTTTAATATCTGCTGAATCAGTAACATCAGCTGTCACTTTTGATGTTGGCCAACTTGGTCTTCTATTTGTCCTGGTCACTCTGGCTGGAGATTTATCGATTTTATTTTATTTTAAAAAGATTTATTTACTTATGCATGCAAGAGCTGGGGCACAGGCCAGAGATGCAGGGGGCAAGAGAATTCACCAGAGACAGTGGGGAACAGAACAGGCAGACTGACTGAAATACACTGCTGAGGGGAGCAGCAGGCGAGCCAGGAGAGGTCTGCCTTGCCATGTGGGTAGCTCCCTGGCAGGCCGGGGATCGAACTCTTGCTGCAGAGGCTGTGGATTGCTTCATAGTGCGGTGCTTAACCCCTTGAGCCACCAGGGAGGCCCTGGAGGTTTATCATTTTTTATAGAGGCATTTTTTTTTAATTTATTTATTTGTTTGTTTGTTTGTTTTGTTTTATACAAGCACTGGGTACAGTCAGAAGCGCGGGAGGGTGAGAGAATTCACCAGAGCCAGAGCGGGGAGCGGAGCAGGCAGAAGGACCGAAGCACACTGCTGAGGGGAGCAGCAGGCGGCAGGAGGGGTCTGCGCGCCATGCGGGACCCCCCTCCGGTGGCCGGGGAGCAGCCGGGGATCGAACCAGCACTGCAGAGGCTGCTGGCAGCCTCGCAAGCCAGCGCTCAACCGCTGCGCCACCGGGGAGGCCCGGAGGTTTATCGATTTTATTGCTCTCAAAGAATTACCTTTTTGTTTCATTGATTTTTCTCCTCTGTTCTGTTTTCTCTTCCACACACTTCTACTCTGTGCTGATTTCCTTCCTTGTGCTTTTTTTTGTTTGCTTGCTTTTTAACAGTTCTCGAAGAAGCTGAGGTCACTGATTTGACACTGTATTTCCTAATAAAGGCAGTTAGGTGCTATGAATTTCCCTCTAAGAGTTTTCTTTGGCCTCATCCCATAAATCTCACTCTGTTTTCACTTCATTTCAGCTTAACATACTTTCTAATTTCTCTTTCGATTCTTATTTAGCCCATAGACAATTCAGTAGTATGTTCTTAATTTCCGGATACTTGGAGATTTTCCAGATACCTTGTTGCTGGTTGCTAATTTACCACCACTGTGTCTGGAGAATACACTTCCCGTGGTCTGCATCCTCTTCCACTTACCGGCCTGTTATACATGGAGACTGCGGCTAGAACTGGAGATTTGGATGCCTGGGCCCAGAACCTGTGTGGTGACCACCGCAGCTGTGCTGTTTCTTACAACAGACTTCCACCTGGCCCTTTGGTTCAGCCTCAATGTCGCCCCCTTTCTGAGCCATCCCCAGTGGACGCCAGCTCCTCTGGCTGCCGAGCCTCACCGAGCTGCAGTGGCCCCGGCTTCTCTGCGGCCCCATCCCGCCTGCCACCCAGCTTCCTTGGTCCAGTAAGTTGGCTTCTTATCCGTGCACATCTCAGCTTTCAACTCACAGTTGTGTTTCCACTCGCTTCATCCTTGTGGGTTTGTCTTGTATGATAAAACATAGATAACGTAGAACTTACCATTTTAACCATTTTTAATTGCACAGTTCAGTGGCTTTAAGTATATTTATATTGTTTGCAACATCAAGATCTTCCATTTCCAGAACTTTTTCATCTTCCCGAATGGAAGCCTCACGTTAAACAAGGAGCCACCCTCCCGCCCGGGCCCATGGAGTCTCCACCCCACTTTGTGCCTCTGGATTTGGTGAGGCCAGGGGCCACATGTGAGCAGGGTAACGGGGCGCTGTCCCTCAGTGTCTCCCCTGTCTGTGTCTCTGCTTCTGACTCTTTCAAGCATGTGTGCAGACGTGAACCCACTGAATCCTATGGTGACGATGCTTCTTCCCCAAGGCACAGCCACCCTGTTACCCACCGTGGTGGTACCACCTGATGTCTTTGCCTTTAAATAACTCCTTTACTGTCCTCTTACCAGGAGCTCAGATGGTGCTCAGGATACACGCCTGCTGAACACGTGAGGGGCCAGCACCCCACTGCTGTCCTGCCCAGTGAGGGGTAGCGGAAGAGGGCGGGGTGCCTGTGCTGAGAGCTGCCCAGGAGGTCCTGGGGGTCAGGCTGTGGCTCCACACAGGCTGGGCCAGGGCACGGCACCGGCCACCACAGGAGCCAGCTTGGCTCTGCTCTCCTGGACGAGGGGCCTGTGATGGCATCAGGCCTGCCTCTCCGCTGGGCTTGGCGCCAAGCAGGGCCCCCAGGAAACACCCCCAGGAGTGGGTAGGGCTGGGGTTCTGCCAGAGGGCAGCTCCAGTGCTACAGATGTGTGACAGGACCCACAGCCTGGATACAGGCCCCCTGCTGGGGCACATGCAGACCAGTCTCCACTGGGGCTCGTTCAGGGCCTCCAAGCAGCCTGGGCTCTGACTCCCTCCGATGTGCCAGCCGGGGCCTGGCAGTGCCAGGGGAGTGTCCTGGGGGTGGTACCCCAGCTCCGTGGAAGCCCAGGGTCCAGTCTCACTCACCTGGTCACTCAGTAAGTCCCTGGGGCTGAAGTGTACCTGCCGGGCCTCCGGCTCACGATGGGGGCACTTCAGACCCTCCTGGACAAGGGTGCAGCTACAGCCCAGCTGCTCCTGGAGAGGCCTGGAAGGCTGAGGACACCCCAGGCCACCACTGGGCCATGTGGCCATGTGTGGGAGCTGCCCAGAGAGGCCCACTCAGGATTCTGTCTCCCAGCTCCAAAGACTGTACACCTGGGGCCAAAATCACGGCTTCCAGGCCCCCTCCGAGGCCGGCATGCTGTGTGGAGCCTCCCAACACTGCCTCCCAGGGCCCGCTTGTCCTGGTGGGCCCGTCACCCTGTGTGCCAGCTCTGGCCTGTGCCTGGCCTGCAGAGCCACTGGCCATGTGTGTGAGCAGGCCAGGGCCCAGCCCCTGGACAGCGGGTGGTGGGCGGCGTGCTGTAGGCTCAGGGCTGCCTGGGCAGCTCAGCCTGACCAGCAGGACCACAGCCCTGGTCACTGCAGTGGGGGGGTGCCAGCTTTTGGGCCCGTAGGGGCTCTGGCAGCCTCAGGGTCTGCTAGGGGTCCCAGCCTCCCACGTCTCTGGGGAGCTCACTTGAGCCCCACAGCCTACATGTCTCCCCTACTGGTGTTGACACGGCCGCCTCTGTCCTCACAGCTGTCGCTGCCCGGCAGCTGCCTCCCCGCCTCCCTCACAGCAGCCTGAGGCTGCCCTGGGCCTCCTGCAGCCCCCAGACAGCAGAGCGAAGCAGTGAACACGGCCTTGGACAGTACGCCGGCAGGGCCTTGTCTGCCTGCCCCCGCCTGTGCCTGAGGCCTGTGCCGGGGCTGCCCGCAGGCCTCCTGGGGGGCTCCTGAGCGCCCCTGTCAGGCAGAGGCCAGGTGGGCCCAACACGCACCGCCTGCACCGGCTGGCCCTACCTTTGGTGTCGTTGACGGGGTCCATGTGCCGGTAGATGTAGCCCTCCAGGTACGAGTGGAACTTGGGGGTCGGGGGGAAGAAGGCCAGGCAGATGGCCATGAGCTCCCAGCCGCGCGCCAGGCTCTCCAGGCGGAAGTTCTCGGTGGTCTGGCGGCACAGCTGGATGTAGAGCTCGTCCCGCAGACCCTGCGCGCTCCAGCCCTTGGTGGCGATCTCCAGGGCCACGTGCAGTGGGTCGGCCTTGGCGCGCCGGTCACCCATGTACATCTGGATCAGCTTGAAGATCTCGCAGGCCTCCTTCTTGACGTGGCGGTCACTGGTCACGATCATGGGTTTCTTGATGGATTCGCTGCTCCAGGCCAGCATGTTGGCGATGGACACCTTCCGCCGGAAGAGGCCCTGCGTGTGCTTGTTGAAATGCTTGGAGGCCCAGTTCTCGATGTCTGTCTCCGAGGATGGCTTGCGCAGCGTGAAGGTGGGGAACACGCAGCTGGCGCTGGGCATCACGCTGCGGGTCTGCCGGCCGCTCTCGAACTGGGCACAGGTGCCGAGGTCCTCAGACTGGGAGGGGCAGAAGGGCCACGGGGCCAGCAGTGAGCGCAGCTCCATCCCGCCTGTCCTGGGACGGGCTGCGCCTCCGCTACGCCCCCCAGTGGGCGCTCTGCCTGCAGCCGAGCCCTGCCAACCCCAGGACCCTGCTTGGGAGCCCAGGCAGGCCGCAGGAGGGAGGAAGCTGTGTCCCTGCTGCTGCAGCCCAGTCGGGGGTGCCCAGGATGCCCTGCCATGAGACTGCAGCAGAGCAGCTGGGCGCTGCCCCCTCTGGCGCGCAACTGCTTCTGGGGCTGGACGGCCAGAACGCCCAGCTGGAAGGAGAGATCTGAGTGCGGCTGGGTGAGCCACACCCCGGCTTTCACAGCTGCGGCGACTATCCCCAGCCCTGAGCAGCCATTGGAGACACGGTCCAGCCTGGGCACAGCTGTCCCAGGGGACGCTGGCCACCAAAGCCACAGGGCCCTAGGGCACGTGTTCCCAGGCAGGGTGGGGGTGGACGTCAGGAGCCCAATGTCAGAAGACCCTCTGGTCACTGACAGCTGCAGCAGATGCCAGGGCTTCATGCAGCAGACTGGTGTGAAAGGTCAGGGGTTAGGAGGCAAGTCCCGGGCACCGACCTCCCAGATGTGACCTGGAGGGGCTGCCCGCGGGTGCTAGAGGGGCCTCTGGTGCAAACCCAGATGCTGGCAGCCTCCGCGGGGTGGAGCGGCAGCAGGGCCTAGGGCCGGCTGTCCCAGCCCATCACCCCCTCAGGGGGTGGCCCCTCCTGTGCCCCTACCTGTGAAGGATGCAGGTAAGGCTCTGGGGAGGCCAGGTTGGTCTGCACCGAGACGCTCTTCTCCAGCAGGATCTGGGGGAAGGCCAGCCGCTCCAGGGCGCCGCGCTGCCAGTGCTTGCTGTCCTGCTGGGCCAGCGCCTCGTCCTCGCTGAAGGCGCGCACCACGGGCCCGGGCATGGGCAGCGGCAGGGCGCCGTCGCTCTCGTAGCCAGAGCCGTCCTGCTGGGAGTCCCAGCTGCCGCGCTGCCTCATGTGCAGGTGGGCCTGCTGCGCCTCCCACGCCAGCCGCGCCTGCGCCAGGAAGGGCTCGGCCGCGCCCCGCGCCCCGTCCGCCTCGCCGGCCTTGCTGCCCTCCGTGCGGGGTGTGGGCGCCAGGCCGGGCGCGCCCGCGGACCGCTCCTCCGCCAGGGGCGCCTCGCCGGGCAGGTCGCGCTCCCCGGGGCCGTCGGCGGGCGCGGCGCTGGGCGCGTGGCACAGGGAGGGGTTGCGGCTCTTCCTTTTGCGCGAGCCGGGGGAGTAGCCGGAGGAGGACACGGTGTGCTGGCTGGACCAGGACATGGCGTCGTCCTGGGCGGCGGGCGGCGCGGGCCCCTCCATGCTGCTGTAGTCCCCCGACGGCAGCCCGAGGCGCGGCTCCCGCAGCAGGCAGGGCCCGGGCTGCAGCGACAGGGAGCCGCCGGCCGGGTGGGGCGCGTACTTGTGCCGCGGGCCGGCGCGCAGCTTGGGGCTGGAGCCCGCCTGCTCCACGTACACCAGCTGCCGCACGTACTCCTTGCCCGCCGGGCTGTACTCCAGGCTCAGGAAGCGCTCGGGGCCGCGCGGCCGCGCGAGCACCAGCTGCTGGTAGGGCGAGGCGCACGCGGGCCGCGGCGACGGCGGGCAGGCGGGCCGGCGGCCCGGGGAGCGCTGCGGCGAGCCCGCCTCGGGCTGCACGTCCATGGGCGGCTCGTCGTACAGCGGCGCCTGGTACTCCAGCGGCGGCTCCTCGTAGAGCGGCGGCTCGTAGGCGTAGCGCGGGGAGGACGGCTGCGAGTCGCCCGACGGCTTGCGGGGCTGCGCCAGCAGCGGGGAGCAGCTGCCCAGCTCGGGCCGCTTGAGGAAGGGCGCGGCGCGCCGGTCGGGGAAGAACACGGGGCTGTCGGGGTCGGGCGCGAAGGTCTGCAGGCCCGGCGAGTGCTGGCCGCCCGAGGGCTTGCGGGGCCGGCCCCTGGGCTGACTGTCCGTCGCGTAGCCGTTGCCCTGCGCGGGGAAGAAGCTGGGCTCCCGGTCGCCGACCTTGACGAGCAGGCGCGCCTTGGTGCCCGAGTCCCAGCGCAAGGAGGAGGTCCTGGGGGGACAGGGGGCGCGTTACCCTCAGTCCACTCCCGCCGGCTCTGGCCCGAGTCTGCTGTGCGGCCGACCTGGGCGCGGGGGCCACGGCACGCGGTGTGTGAGCTTGGAAACTCGCCACTGTACTCACGCGTCGCTGCAGCCCCTTTTTCCTCTCTGGGGGGCGGCCCACCCCTCCACCGACCCGCCTCCCAGCTGTGCTCGCCCCTCTGATGCCCATCTGCTGAGTTCTTTGTCTTTGCTCCCGTGCTTTTCAGTTCTACAAAACCGACTGAATTCTTTTCTGGATAAACGTCACTATTAGCGCTCAGGGAGAAGTGCAGGCTTCACGGTGCCCACCTAGGTGCCCGGATGCTGGCGTCCAGCGTGGGCGAGCCCCGCCCCACCCCTCCTGGCCTGGCCCCCGACAGGGCCCCGCGCGCGTGTGCCCCAGAGCCGCGGTGGTGCCCCGAGCCACGGTGGTGCCCGTCCCGCCAGCCCTGCTCCCAAGCCAGCACCAGCCCCACAAATGAGCCAGTGCCTGTGCGGCCCCCCAGGAGCAGCCGGGGCCCCCCCAGCAGCCCCGCCCCCCCAAGAAGCCCAGCCGCAGCAGGAGCCGGTCCTCAGCTGAGGCAGGCGCCTCCCCGCCTGGTGGGTCAGGGCTGAGCCCTCCGCTCTCCAGGCCAGCCGACTTTCCTGTCCACCTGCTGGAGGACACGGGCCTGGTCCGGGTTTTGGCAATTAGGAGCTAGGCGCCTATGAACACCCTCGTGCACGTCTGTGAGTCGAGTTGGAAGTTTCCATCTTCCGGGAAACCGAGCAGTGTGTGCCTGGACGCAGGGCGTCTGTCCAGCTTCGTGAGAAGCTGCCAGCTGTCTTCCCAGGCAGCTGCCCTGTGTGTGTCCACCACCGGTGGAGACTGGCGTGGCCTGTCCTGGCCGCAGGGGCGGAGGCGCATGTCCGTGGGCCTTGCGTGGAGTGGCCGGGAGGCCTCTCAGCCCACCTTTCAATTGGATTGCTTTCTCGTTGGATTTTGAGAGCTCTTTCTGCCTCTTGGGTAACAGCCCCTTATCGCTGTCCTTGGTGACTACTCCCTCTGGGCTGCGCTGTCTTCTCTGTCTCTCCACTGGCAGTTTTCAGTTTTGTCTGGGCCAGGCCGCCCGTGGACTTCTCTTGGGCTGTCTCAGGAGCCGCACGGGTGTGCCCAGCACATCGGAGCCCACCGGCCAAGCCTGTGGGGCTGGCTCCGGCCTGCTCTGGCCAGTGTGGCCTGCTCTGGCCGGCCAGCCCATGCCCACTGCCACCGTCTTGGTCACGTGGCACCAGAGCGCGCCTCGCAGCAGGCACGCCTGCCCTCGGCTGCCTACTCCTCTGTTGTCTTGGTTACTCCGCATCCTGTGCCTCTCCCGACGAACGTCAGGATTATCTTGGCATGATCCGCTAAGCGGCTGTCCTTGAGGGGGACGGCAGGGCCAGCTGGCCAGCGGACGGCCAGCCTGACAGCACGGGGCCTTGAGCCGCGATCTCAGGGCTGTCCGTTCTCTGAGCTCTCCCCTCTCCTCAGTCCTGTGACTTTCTTTACATAGCTCTTGTGCAGACTGACGCTTCTGTGCCTACGTATCTCATTCTTGAAGGAGCTACCGTAAGTGGTGCTATTTTTACTTTCGGGCCCCGTGGTTGCTTCCAGCCGTGGGCAGCAGTGAGCAGCGTGGGGTCCGCGTATCTGCCCTGCCGGGCAGCGTCCTATCAGCTCCAGGCGCCAGGCGGGGTCTGTCCCCACAGGCAGCGCATCGTGGCGAACACAGACAGGCCTGCTTCCCCCTCACCATCCGCACACAGTCCAGCACCAGCGGCTCCCTGGACACGTGGCTGGAGCCCGCGCAGAGACCGCAGCTGCCATGGACTGGCTGGCGCCAAGCCCGGCACAGGCCCCCGCAGAGCGTCGCTGGCCCCTCACACAGACCCAGCACATGTCTCGCATCAAACAGTGGCCCCTGTCCAGGCTCGGTCCGGTTTGGGGCCTCCGGGAGGATGCCTACTCCCAGCCTGGGCGGGGGGCAGGCGCGGCCGGCCTGGTGTCCTTCCGCTGCGGGGCTCGTGCCCAGATCACCGGGCCTCCCCGGCCCCGGCCGCCCCTCTGCACCAGGGCGGCAGGCTCTCCCTGGCGGCGGGCTCTAGGAGGTCGGGGCGCCTCTGCTTGTGCCACGGGGCGGGCCTCTGTCAGCTGCCCCCTGCGTCCAGCTGTCATTTCTCCCTGGCCTACCGCTCTGAGGCGAGTCCCGCCGGGGATGGTGCCTGTGGGCCCGGTGCTATTTCAGAAGTTTATTGATGATTTATTGAGCTTCATTAATAAACGTGTTAAATGTCCGTTTCTTCTAGTGTGAGTTTTGGCCCGCTGTGTCTTCCAGGGCGTTCTCGGGCCCGGGCTATGGAATCGGCAGGCACAGGGTCATTCATGATATGCCTGTTCATGCCCTCCATGCGCACGTGCGCCGCCCCCCCTCTGTCCCCACCGATCCCCCGCGTGGCCTGGCCAGACACGCCGCGGACCATTTCTCCTTCCCGGCAGCTGTCGGCACTGTGGATTGCTGCTATTTCGTGCCTTCGATTTCATCGGTTGGTGCTCTACTTTTTACTATTTCTTTTTTCTGGTTATTCTGGATTTAATTTGCTTTTCTTTTTCTGGTTTCCTACAGCAAAAGCTTGTGGCCCCCGGGAGCAGCGCCACTGTGCTTTCACATTCATTTGGCTCAAGATATTTTAAAATTTCCACTCAGAGTTGAGGCTCCTCTGTGCCGTGAGTAACCGAGCAGGGTGTGCAGTCAGCAGCACCTGAGGCCTCCCCAGGCGCATGATCCCTGGCTGAGGGCGCCGCGCCATGAAGTCCACTCTTCTGACCCTTAAGGTGTGTTGTTGGTGCCAGGACACGATCTACACTGGTGACATTTAAAAAAATGCCTTATGTCTTGTATACACGAATCATAATTTTAGTGACAGTGTCCTGTGGCTCTGCCTGTAATGTCTGTTTTGTGTTCCCTCAGCCCTGCAGACTTAGATGGAGATTCTGGCCACTGTGTATGAAAAGCCACAGAGTCTGAGGCTCTGGCTGGATCTGGTCCTGGTGGCAGTGGGGTGAAGGTGGCCCCGGCCCTCCTGGGGCTGTTGGCAGGGCTGGCCGGTGTGTGCCGGCCGGAGGGGCGGCTCCCAGTGCTGGCCGGGCCCTGCACCCACGGGCCAGGCCCAGTGTCAACCTTCCCGCGGCAGAGGCCTCGCTCCTCAGTAGCATCTGATGGTCTCGGGTGACTTTGTCCATTTCGTCTTCCGATTACCCGTGGGCGTCAGCCGTCAACAAGGCCTGGCCTGGTCTCTTCAGCAGAGATGGCAGACAAGGCGCCCGTACCTACGCAGCCCTGCACCCGTGCACTGGGGCTGACAAGGGGGCCAGAGCCGCGGAGCAGCCGGGTCACACAGCCACCGAGTGCGCAGGGGGCCCTTCCACGTCAGCAGGTGCACATGCTGCCAAGCACCCACCCCTGCACGGAGCGAGGCCGCGGCCCAGGCTCCAGCTCTGCTGCGTGGCCGCTGAGCCCAGGACCACGAGGGTCATCTCCAGGACCTCCCAAAGCCCTGTAAGGCCAGCCCAAGGTCGAAAGCCCACCCCCCACTCCCTGCAGCCAGCACTTCCATCCCCCTGCACCTGCCCACCCCCCGCCCCTCCCCAGGACACTGACTGCCTGCGTCACTGGATGTGGAGTGGCCCTGGGGCCCACCTTGGCCCGCCCTTCTCGTGGCTTTGGGCTGAGCCAGTGTCTTTAGCAGCCCCAGGGCTGCAGCACCCCCGGCCCCCCAGGCCCCAGGCGCTACCTGTAGTGCAGCGGCTGGCCATCCACCCCGCGGTCCCTGAAGCCCTCGCAGTCCCTCTCCAGGAGCATGCCCGGCGGAGAGCTGGAAGACAGAGGTGGGCAGTGTGAGCACTGGAGAAGGGCCTTTCGCCTGTGAGATGTTCTTAGGTCTTCAGGAGGACCCCGCCTTCTGGCGCCTGCTGGCCACCAGGCCCAAGTGCCCATGCCCCCAGCGCCCGCGCTCAGTCACAGATTTGGGGCGCTGAGGGCCCGCGCAGGAAGCAGGGCGGCAGCATGCTCTTCATTGGAAACGCAATGAAACAAGAAAAAAAAATGGAGACAAAAGCATTTGCGTGAGATGAAATGGCCATTGTCAACTCAGAAAACCTGAAAGACCAACTGGACATGCCAGGGGCAGCGCAGTTGACAGCGCCAAGGCAACCGGCGACTGGCCAGAGTGGCCAGCGCAGCCTTGGCAGCGGCCCCGCATGGAGTGGCCGCCCATCACTCGGGCAGCCTCCAGCCTCCGCAGAGCGCACGACGGGGAGGGCGTCCCCTGAGCTGAGGGCCCACCCCCGAGGGTGCGCGAGAAGAGCCAAGGAAACGCAGAGTGGCCGGTGCGCGGTGACCGGGTCAGGGCAGAGCCCGGGCTGAGCCTGCCCCACGCCCCCCAGCTGCTGCGCGGGCGGCGCCCCGGGTAGAGACGCCTGGAAAAACCACCTGGGCTGGGCTCCGCGCACCCGCCAGAGCGCAGGTGCCCCAAAGTCCGAAGCCCCTCCCCGCACCTGGGGCCTGCTGCTCCCCGCTCCCCGCCGAAGCCCTCCCCAGCTGCCCAGGGCTGTCCTGCTCCCCCGCACACACTGGTGCAGACCCCATAACCCGAGCCAGGGAGGGAGGAGCAGCCCAGCAGGAAGGCCGCGACGGCGCTGAGGGACGCGCTTGCAGGGCAGGGGGACGGGAGACCAGAGGGACAGACTGGACACGTCCAGGAAGGGAGAAGAGGCCCACGGGACTCTGGGGGCAGCTGATAGTGAGGGCCATGACCACAAGGGGTGGGCCCTCCAGGCGGGGCAGACCTGCAGCCTGAGCGCTGAGAGTGGTTTCGGTATTTTTAAGGTTTTTTTTGGGACACGCAAGAACTACACGAGCCGCAGCCGCCGGGGGCGGGTGCAGCACCTGCACAGCTGCAGCCCGGCGGGGCTCAGCCACCCAGCGGGTCGGGCTCCCGCACCCTGGGCCTCGGCAGTGTCTGGGAAGAGCCCTGGGATGAAGAGGCGGCCGGCAGGATTACTGCACAGGATGAACATGGCTCTTACTCCCGAGTGAGTCTCCAAGTGGCTCATTTGTTGGCCAAGCAAAGAAAACATTCCCTGAGGGTCATCGAGCTGCTTTGGACACCTGTGGTGAGCAGCCCAACGCTGCCCTGGGGCGCCCTGCTGCCGATGGGGGCAGGACGGCCAGGACGGCCGGTGGGGAGTGACTGAAGCCGTCGCCTCTGTCATCTGGGTGGGCCCGCGAGACCCCGGGGCCGCTGGCCGCCGCCCTGCGCACCGCAGCCCCCTCCAGCGGGTCAGAGCAGCCGGCAGGGACGGGCCCTCGGAGGACGCCCCGCCCGAGGGGCTCCTCTCCGGTCAGCCAGCGAGGCCGGGCTGCCCTGGGGCGACGGCGCGGGCGGGCGCGGGCCCACGTTGGCCGCCCCAGGCCGTCCTTGTGGAGAAGGCTGGACCCCGCGGGGCCGGACCCGGCCTCCCCGGCCACACGGGCCGTGGCCGGGCCAGTACCGGGGGGCAGGCCTCGTCCCCTGAAGCCCCGGACGCCTGGCCGCCTTCTCAGCGCCGCCCCTTCCCCGCCCTCCGCGGCCGAGACTGGTCCGCGGGGGCGGCCGGGCTCGCGGGCCTGCAGGGAGGGAGCGGCGGGCCCGCGCGCCGGCCTCCTGAGGCGAGGCCCCAGCACAGGCGGGAGACCGACCGCGGGGAGCTTCCTTCGGGGACCGCGCTCCGGGCCGCGCCTGGGCCCCGCCCGCCCCGCCCGCCCGCCCCGCCCCAGCCGCCCGCCCGCCCGCCCGCCCGCCCGGCCTCACCTGCCGCCGTCCTCCTGCCGCGCCCCGAAGGCCGCGGGCCTTGCCGGCCGCCCCGGGGCTCCTGCGCGCGCTCGCCGGGCTCGGGCTCGGGCTCGGGCTCGGGCTCGAGCGAGGAGCCGGAGCTGCCGTCGCGGCCGGCGCGGCCGGCGCGGCCCGGGCTGCTGGCGGCCGAGGCGCGCGGCGACGCGCTGTGCTGCTTGAGCGTCTGCAGCTTGGCCAGCGGGATGATGTCGCAGTCCCGCGGCCGGTGCCACACGGTGCGCTGCGAGCTGGCGTTGTAGTAGTAGAAGCGCGACGTGTTGGGGTCGAACAGCTCCCACCACTGGTTCTCGCTGGCGCGCTTGATGCGCACCCCGGCCGGCGGGTCCCACACGCACTCGCCCGTCAGCAGGTTGGCGTACATGCGCTCGCGGGTGCGCGGCTCCACGATCTCCACCCACTCCAGCCTGCAAGGCGGGGCGTGAGGCGCGCGGGCCCGCCGGGGCCCCCCCCCCCCCCGCCGGGACCCCGCCCCGCGGGGCACCCCCCGCCAGGTCGCCGCCGGGCCACCCGCTCCCGGCCCCCACCCCCCCCCCGCCGGGCCCCCGCGCACCCCCGACCCCGGCGCTTGACCCCCGTGCACGCCCCCACCCCGCCGGGACGCCCCCCCCCCGCCGGCCCCCCCACCGCCCGACCCCCCCTCCGGGGCCACCCCCCGCCCCCCCTTTTAACCTGTTTTGATTTTAAACAGGGGTTTTCCACGGCTGTCGAGAGGTGCAGCCTCTGCCTCACGCCCGCTCCCGCGAGTCTCGCCTAGGGACACTGGGTGACCCGCAGACCCAGCGGGAGACCGTCTGGGACCGGCCAGGCCCTCTCCTCGCCCCGACAACCCGCCGTCCGGCTCTGAACGCGCGCGAGCGTGGAGTCTACACAGAAACTCGCTCTGGGTTGTCGCGTGTTGAAATTATTTGTGGTTGGATTTTTAATCTTTATTTTTGTTGCTGAAAAGAACTTTTGTCTCAGCATCCTTGAATTTGCAAACCTTTCCCGCCATCTCTCCTCTTTCTACTTGTTGAAGGAATCTTCCCTTCTTCAGCGTAATCCACTGGCCCAAGTTTTGCAGCCCTGGCCTCTCCTGGTCCGGCTCCAGCCAGAGCCTCCAGGGGTGCCTGGGCCGGGGCCTGGTCAGCTGCCCCCACCCCTTCCTGGGGCCGCCGGCGGGCGGCGCCCGTTTTGGGGGAAGGAGCTTCCTCCCTGGGTATCGCGCCCGCACGTACTCCTGCTAAGTGGTAAGCTTACTCAAGATCACTGCCCTCTGCTCTGCCTGCCTGGCCAGGGGATCGGTTTCGGGGCTCTTCTGGAAGACCCAACCCGTAGTGGAAGGGCTCTTCTCTGTGGGTTTCTGGACCCTGTTCCATTTACTTCTGCTCTTACTGTCGCTCCCCGCCCGCACTTCGGCTCCCGCTGCCCCTGCAGCCCCTGGGTCTGTGCTGCAGCGCTCATGGCTTCCTTGGCCCTGCCCAGCTTTCCCAGGGGAGCCCTCTCCGCTCTGGCCTGACTGCCGGCCCAGGGGGAAGCACGACCCGCTCCCATGGGTCCGCCACCTGTCCCAGGAGAGGCGCCCCTCGGCACCGGCCCCTCCTCACCTGGCACCTGGCCCGGGGCCGCGGGGCTCCTGCTCCCCGGCTCGGTGGCCCTCGCAGCTGTAGTCCTGGGTCTGGGACATCGCAGGCTTCTCCTGGGGGCCCGCTGGGTGGGCGTCAGCAGGTCATCAGGTGCCCCTCGGGCATCAGTTGGGAAGGTGCCAGCCTGAGAGAGTAGAGACCTGTGAGCGCAGCCCCCCCATTCCCACCTCGGCTGGCCCGAGGGCCGACACCCCACCTACCCTGCAGCTGCCCAGAGCTGCCCCATGACCCCCACCCCACCCCCCCGCAGGGCTGCATAGCCTGAGGCCCAGTCCTGCGCTTGGGAGAAGTCACAGCCTGGACCCCTGCCATCGCCACACAAGGTTCAGCCCAGGTGAGCCTCGCATGCCTGTCAACAGCGAAACAACAAGGTGTTTAGAGTCCTGGTTCACACAGGGACAGACCCCTGCAGTCACAAAGCCGCAACCACGGAGGAGACGGAGGAGGCGCTCCGGAGGCCTCGCCTGGCCTGAGGTGCAGGAAGGCCGGAGCCGAGGCAGCGACCCTGACCCTGCGGGCAGGGTGACATGGTGGGCTCTGGGGAGCTGCAGGTGCCCTCGGCGCAGGAAGAACAGTGTTTCCCAATAATTTTTAAAAACCCACTAACCACAGGAGAAAAATGTATATAACCGAGTCACAGTAACAGGAAGTGCCTTTGCCTTGCCCCCCGCGGGGAGCAGAGAACCCCAGGAGGCTGCTGTCCGCTGAGCCCGCAGGGGCCATTTCCAGGACAGACAAAAGTTCCTAGAAATAGGCAAACAAGCAGGTGACCCGACAGGACAGCGGACGGAGATCTGAACACACATCACAGAACAAGACCCTGCGGGCACCGAACAGGTAGAAACAGGCTCGGGAAGGCACTGGTACCCAGGCAAGCGGCAGGGGGCAGCTGAGATGGTCAGCGAGCCTCCACTGGGCGTGGGGTGCAGGGCTGCGGGCGCTAGGTGTGGGATGGCAAGGTGCATGTCGGCCAGCTGCCCCCCAGGGGGCAGGGCTTCCCACAGGGGTGCCCGCATCCACGCGACTCCTCCGGGCAAGAGCCTCACTGTACGGGGGCTGAGGCCAGACTGTTAAGGAGGGGTGCCCCTGTGGGGTGCAGGTGAGGATGGGGAGCCCCAGGGGAAATATGGACACAGTATGAGGGGACACTGATGAGAAATATGAGGGATCACAGGGGCACCCCGGGGCTCAGTGCTCGGTATTCAGCGTTTTCAATCTCCAGCGACCCCACCGTGCGGCCTGTCCAGGAGGCGGTGGGGGCCTCTCGGGGACACAGAGGGGCGCCCAGCAGCCACCTCAGCAGAGGAGAGTTCACGCTGTGCAGGTGGCCAAGGCAGGACTGAAATCGGCCGGGCAGGCCCTTCTGGGCAGCAGGTGGCCACTGGCGGGTGGCTGGGCCAGGGGCGGCTGTCCCTGTCCTTGGTGGCACCACACTGGGCGTCTCGGGGCATCTCCTGCCGCCTGAGCTGGATCCACCTGTGGTCCAGCTGCCTTGTGCTCCAGATCCCCACGGAAATGGGCAAGAGATGCCCTCTCAGATGCCTTCTGCTTACGACTTCAAACGCAGTGCACCGCTTGGGGTGAGATCACTGGCCGCTTAAGGCCTCAGTGACTCTGTCTCCCTGTTTGTTCCACGAACCCCGGTACCATTGCTCCCTGAGCCCGAGTGCAGGTGTGGGAGAGGAGCTCAGACGTGCACTGTGCGCTGCTTGGACACATCCTTGGCCAGGTTTAGAGCCCCCTGCTTACTGGTTGCCAGGGCCAGGGGGATGTCCAGCAGTGTGGACGCACATGGCGCGGGTGTGGCCACCACTCTAGGAGACAGGGGCTGCCTGCCACCCGGTCACAGGCCTCAGAGAGCCCAGCCAGAGCTCCGGGGGCCCGGCCGCTCTGCCCCGCGGCACCCAGCACAGAGTCCACCCAGGGCCCACCTGGCCACCGCACCCGAGCTCTGCCTCATTACGCGCCCTGGCGGCCGGGGGGGCCGCCCAAAGGGACAAACAGGCGGCCACACCGGGCAGGCCTGGCTCACATCCTTCCAGGTGTCACGTTTTTGATGTTAACAATTAAAATCACCTCCAGTTCTCTGCTGTCCTTCCCTTGCTCCCGTGCCTGCGGCTGTTTGCCTTCGCTTTCTTTTCTTTTTTTAAAGATTAATTATTTATGCATACAGGAACTGGGGTGCTGGCCAGAGGTGCAGGGGGTGAGAGGACTCCCCAGAGGCAGAGTGGGGAGCAGAACTGGCAGAATCACTGAAATCCACTGCTGAGGGGAGCAGCGGGGAGACAGGAGAGTCTGCTGTGCCCTGTGGGCAGCTCCCTGGCCAGGGATGGAACTCGTGCTGCAGAGGCTGCGGACAGCCTCATAGGGCTGTGCTTAACCTCCTGCGCCCCCAGGGAGGCCCAGCCTTTGCTTCTGGCAGTGGTTGGAAGCCGTGTAGAGATGTGGTCCCGGCCCTGGAGGATGCCCCCCACCTCCTGCCGCCCCCATGCCTGGCACCCGTTGTGCCGATGGCTGGGTCTCAGCCTCCCCCCGGCCCTGCCACCCCAGTCCCTTCTCTGGGCTCCTCTCTCTACCCGATACCGGCCCCTGCGTCCCAGCCACCTCCCCCAAGTGCCCGCTGCTGATGGTCATGCCTCCCCCGCCGTGCAGCCCCGGCCTGTGGCTCGTCTTCCGCGGCGTCCCCCCCGGGAGCTGTCGTGGGGCCTCACGGGCTTGCTGTGGCTTCACATGACTGGCACCCGCTCACACAGTGGGCAGCTCTGCTCCCTGAAAGCTGCCCACGCGGGGCCGCCCAGTTTCCACACCCCGCCAGCTTCTTCTCCAGGGTTCCAGAGGGGGCCGAGGGCTCTAGGTGGGAGGGCCATGGGCGGGAAGGTGCTCCCTGGGAGCGGCCCCCCAAGTGCCTTTGGGGTCACCGTGCAGGACAGAGCCCTCCAGTCCGCGAGCCCTCAGCTGTGGGCTGCCCCTCCCGCCACCCCAGGGCTCCACAGGCCTGCCCCTGGCCACGGCCTAACCCTTGCCCTGCTTTCCGTCCCTTGACGTGTTTTGGGGTTTTCACAGTGGGAAGTGGAGGGCGTGTCTCCCCCAGCCTCGCTCCAGCCCAAGGCCCTAGGCCACCCGGTGGCATAGCCCCTTCTCCTGCCCCAGGGGCTGCTGGCGGACCGGACCGTGGCCCTGCTCCGGCCCCTGGCCCAGCCCTCCATGGCAGGCCAGGGCAGCTTCCCAACCCCAAACCCTCGGAGGGAAGGGACCCGTGGGCGCCATCCCGGGGAGCACCGCATCCACACCGGAGAGGCCGGGGGGCAGCAGCCAGGACGCAGGGCCCGCCGGGCTGCCCACACGCACCACGCACCAGGCGGCGCCCTGGGGGCCCGTGACCCACCTCAGGAGCCCGGGGAAGGGCGGCGTCTGGCCGAGACCAGGCCCCACAGGGGAGAGGCTGGCACCTGGACCCCTCGTTCCCAACCCTCCAGGCAGCAGTAACCACAGGCCCCACGGCCGAGGGACACGGCCGGCCGGCCCTCAGTGCAGGGGCTTCTCTGCTGGGAATCCGTGCGGCTCAGCCACCCCAGCCCCGGGCCGCAGAGAGGGCCCCTCTCCACCGCAGCCAGCGCCGCCCGCCCCGGGAAGCCGAGAAGGCAGAAGGGCGGACGGTGGGCTGCGGGGGTCCCGCTGGGGCAAGCCAGTGCTGAGCGCGGCACCCCCTTCCTTCTCTTGCCCAATTCTGTGGGGACCTGGTGGGGGACTGGGAAAGGGAGGCCCTGGCCCCAGAGCCGGCCGGGCGGCGGGACGGGGGCTGGAGGAGCGGGGCGGCCGCGGCCTGTGCGGCCTGTCTCGCGGCCCCGGATGTTCTCTGTGAACCTCGCCCGGGTCTGCTGTTCTGAAAGGCGCCCAGAGCGCACGGGCGGAGCCGAGCCCCGGCCCGGCCAGAGTGTAGGGACCGGGCAGGCCCGTGGCTGAGGGCCCGCCTGGTGCCTCCTGCCCCTGCCCCCCGCGTGCCCGGGGGAGGGGGCGCCCACTGACTCTGAATGTGGGTGAGGTCGCCAGCCAGGAGGAGGTGCTGGTCACCAGGGGCATAGGCACCCCCCCCAACAGGGGCCCATTCCATAGAAGGCGGAGAGAAGGCTCCAGACCCCTGCTCCCCAGTCAGTGCTGCTGGCACAGAAGGGGCGCAGCAGTGGGGGAGGTGGGGATCTGTTCCTGGTGCCCGGGGTCGGGGTCGGCCCAGCGCCCCAGGACTGTGGACACCCCTTCCGTGCACCCCTGCCAGCCCCACCCTGGGCGGGCCCCGTTTCTCACAGCACCTCCGGCCCAGCATCCCCCCAAACTGCACCAGCTGTCTCGCTGGTTTCGCGGCATTGGACACTGGCCCACGGGGAGGCTCCCTCTCCAGAAAGAGTGGGGTGCAGGCGGCGGCCCGCCTGCCTGGCCCTCATGCCTTCCTGGCACGACGTCCTGCTGGGGTTAACTCGCTCCACAGTGGCCGCCAGGTGCTGTAACAGGCAGGACCCACTCACCACAATCCACCCCAGAGCCACCCTTTTCGCCTCCCCTCTGGGGCCTCGCAGAGCTGCGGCACTGGGGGGCTCATGAATGGCCCTGCAAGTTCCTGCAAGGACGTCTCTGGCGACGCGGCCTGGCGCCCCTCAGAGCCCGCTGCAGAAGAGAGGTGCTCACTCGGTCACTGCCAGGAGGGGTGCGGCCACACGCCCTCCCGGTGCGAGCTCCGGGACCCACCTGGGCCGTGGCCACACAGAGAACATTTCTGAACGCTGACTGGCTGACCAGCTCTCCATAGGTCAGAGGTGCCCCCAGGGCACCCCTGGACAGACGAAGCCTTCCCAGGGGGCTAGACCTGAGACCAGGTCGGTGGGGGCGGGGGGAGACGGGATGGGATCGCCAGGCGCTCACACCCCAGGCCGCAGCAGAGAGCCCCAGGCCCCCTTGGGCACCACCCTGCTGCTGCGGGGGCTCCTGGGTTGGCCAGTCACCCCATAAAGAGCTCTGCAGATGGGGGCAGGGCCCCCGCCACCCTTATCTCCTTCCAGCTCCCGGGACACAGACCTGCCCCACAGGGACAGCGTCTCCACAGCAGGAGCCCTGGGGCCCCAGACACCCTCG